CACGACTCGTAAAACATGGCTCGTAAACTATGATTCGTAAACCATGACTCGTAAACCATGGTTCGTAAACCATGATTCGTAAACCATGACTCGTAAGACATGGCTCGTAAACCATGATTCGTACACCATGACTCGCAAACCATGGCTCGTAAACCATGATTCGTAAACCATGACTTGTAAACCATGGCTCGTAAACTATGATTCGTAAAACATGACTCGTAAAACATGGCTCGTAAACAATGATTCGTAAACCATGGCTCGTAAAACATGGCTCGTAAACTATGCTTCGTAAACCAAGATCCGTAAACGTGTAAGATGAGACTGTGCATGTACTTGCCAGAGGGGGGTGTGATTTTGATATGATGTGTAAGATGTGACCTTGCATGTACTTGCCAGAGGGGGTGGGATTTTGATATGACGTGTAAGATGAGACTGTGCATGTACTTGCCAGAGGGGGTGGGATTTTGATATGACGTGTAAGATGAGACTGTGCACGTACTTGCCAGAGGGGGTGGGATTTTGATTCGACGTGTAAGATGAGACTGTGCATGTACTTGCCAGAGGGGGTGGGATTTTCATATGACGTGTAAGATGTGACCTTGCATGTACTTGCCAGAGTGGGTGGGATTTTGATATGACGTGTAAGATGAGACTGTGCATGTACTTGCCAGAGGGGGTGGGATTTTGATATGACGTGTAAGATGAGACTGTGCACGTACTTGCCAGAGGGGGTGGGATTTTGATTTGACGTGTAAGATGAGACTGTGCATGTACTTGCCAGAGGGGGTGGGATTTTGATATGACGTGTAAGATGAGACTGTGCATGTACTTGCCAGAGGGGGTGGGATTTTCATATGAACCGTAAGATGTGTTAAGATGTGACTTTGTATGTGCTTGCCAAAGGGGGTGGGATTTTCATATGAACCGTAAGATGTGACTTTGTATGTGCTTGCCAGAGGGGACGGGATTTTGATTTGACGTGTAAGATGAGACTGTGCATGTACTTGCCAGAGTGGGTTTGATTTTGATATGACGTGTAAGATGAGACTGTGCATGTACTTGCCAGAGTGGGTGGGATTTTGATATGACGTGTAAGATGAGACTGTGCATGTACTTGCCAGAGGGGGTGGGATTTTGATATGACGTGTAAGATGTGACCTTGCATGTACTTGCCAGAGGGGGTGGGATTTTGATATGACGTGTAAGATGAGATTGCGCATGTACTTGCCAGAGGGGGTGGGATTTTGATATGACGTGTAACATGAGACTGTGCGCGTACTTGCCAGAGGGGGCGGGATTTTGATTTGAAGTGGAAGATGAGACTGTGCATGTACTTGCCAGAGGGGGTGGGATTTTCATATGAACCGTAAGATGAGACTGTGCACGTACTTGCCAGAGGGGGTGGGATTTTGATTTGACGTGTAAGATGAGACTGTGCATGTACTTGCCAGAGGGGGTGGGATTTTCATGTGAACCGTAAGATGTGACTTTGTATGTGCTTGCCAGAGGGGGTGGGATTTTGATATGACGTGTAAGATGTGACTTTGTATGTGCTTGCCAGAGGGGGTGGGATTTTGATTTGACGTGTAAGATGAGACTGTGCATGTACTTGCCAGAGGGGGTGGGATTTTCATATGACGTGTGAGATGTGACTTTGCATGTACTTGCCAGAGGGGTGGGATTTTGATATGACGTGTAAGATGTGACTTTGTATGTGCTTGCCAGAGGGGGTGAGTTTTGGTTGCTGAGGTTTGGTTGCTGAAGCGAGAGTAGATTTTGGTTGCTGAAGCGTGGTTGCTGAAGCGAGAACCTAGCTTGGTTGCTGAGCCGTGGTTGCTGAGCCGTGGTTGCTGAGTCGTGGTTGCTGAAGCGTAGTTGCTGGTCCGTAGTTGCTGAGGCGTGGTTGCTGAAGCGTAGTTGCTGAGCCGTAGTTGCTGAGCCGTAGTTGCTGAAGCGGAGTTTAATCCTGGGGGAACAGAGTAGAATAAGAGATGTAAAGAGATGTAAAGAGATGTAAGATGAATTAAAATGAATGTATATAATCTATAAAGTATTTGTTCAATAAGGAGGATTAAAGAAGCATCAGGAGCCACAGACGTAAAGACCCAGCTGGCAATGGTGCATCAATTCGTCAGTCATAGTCCAACTTTCACACTGGTCGCCTCTTGTAGTGCCTGGTATAATTCTTCTTCTCCTCACCATCCATGAAGCCCAGTGGACAGCAGGAGTTGAAGAGGCCCTGCATTGGATGCACGGCATGCGCAGCATGGGGCCAATCACGGCACATTTTGGTTGCTGAAATAGGGCATCAGTCGTTCGGTTGCAACCAGCAAAAACCGTCCTCTTCCATGTCACGGCCTTGCTTCCTGTCGAGCCCTCCTCTTTCGCAGAAGCCTTTAACCACCTAGACATCGTCAAACAGCTAAACAGTGTTGAGCAGCGATACTCTTTTGTTCAGCTTCGGAATCTTCGGATTGGGATCATGCGCTCTGAAGCCTTATGAATCTTATGATGCCCATGTGCCGCACTTGGCCACACTGGACTGACTGCACTTGCCCTAATTCTGACATGGAAACCCACAAACAAAGGCTCCCTCCGGTCACGCCTGATCTCGCAGCAAGAAGTCTTCCTAAAGCATGATGGATGACTCTTCTTTACGAACCGGACAGCAGTGTAATCATCTAATCATTAGCAAAAAGGAAGGGTGGGTGCTCATCCCTAAATTCTGTGAAGTATCCTTCCACTGCGACCTCAAGTCCTTGACCACTGAGGAAATTTCAGTATCTCCCCAACTCCTCGGATGCAAGACGCAAGAAATCGATGCAAAAGTCAAAGACTTGACTTACTTTGCTGCAAGCCTTCAGCACCACAAATTCACTCAAGATCTGTACATAACTGATCAAATCTTGTGAATACTCTCTAATCATTAACTCTAATAATTAGAGTTAATGATCAAATACTCATTCATTGATGGATCTCGGTCGAGTCGAATCTCTTTTTTTCGGATTGAAACAGGAATGCAAACTCGAGCTGCTCAGGCTGCTCGAGCTGAGCTTGGCAGCTTGGCCAAAGCGCGAGCACAAACGCGGCTCCTGGACTTTGTGAGGCGCCGGTTGTTCCTCTGCGCATCAAAATCTATCGATCTCGCAGCATACCTTCGGTCCAATTCGCCAAGAATTGGGCAACTTTGCCTGAAATGGCACCAACCTTCTTGTTCTTCACAAAGTACTCGTTGGTAAAATGGCTGATGACCAAGCAGATTGCAAGGTAGAAAGGGAAGAAACTGTGTGGCATCGGTTTCCCCCACAGCTTCTTTGCAATTGCTTTCTTGTAGAAGACCTGGCCAACGGGACCGTGCACGATGAACATCGGGAAGGCCTCGTTGGACGTTTGGAAGTTCGCCGGATACGGACCAACAGCTGCAAGAGGCAAAACATTGCAGAAATAAAATGTGATAATTTATACAAACTATAGATACACTAATATTATACATATGTAGATGCATCTCTTTGTCATACACTATATACCGAGACGTGCTCAATTTGTGTCTACAAACAGTGCATCAACATGCATTACACTTTGAATCCACTAACATTTCAGAGCTTGCACTCGACTGTTGCAATTCGTGACAAATGCTACCAGCTGCTACCACTGCAATCGAGACGGAATCTGCTGCCGCTGCCAAGAGACAAGGGATCCCAGGGTGGCCATGATCTTGCAGCCGAAGAACTTGGTGATTGCCGACGGACTGGATGTCAATGCATCTCGATGCATAGCTGTCAGGAACTCAGTGAAGAGTGGCACAAAGAGCACGCCACGGATGATGGCATCATTGAAGTCAAACTTCGTAAGTCGTAGTCCCAGCGAAGAATATGCTGCCAAGAAAAGCCAAATTGGATTCATGGGCTGCGTCTTCTTCTCCTCTTCTGTGTCCAGCATGACATGACGAGCTGCAATAATGCCGGTGGTCATCTCAAAGAGTGCCCAAATTGGGTGGAAACGTGTCAGATTCCAAATCAATGGCATCATGACCTTGCCATCCACTGGATGCTCCTTGCTGCTGTGGAAGCGAGCAGTCTCCGAGTAGCTGACCTTCTGCAACAAGGAGACTCCCCACAAAGCTGCAAGAAGTTTCTGTAAGCCCTTCTTGGACAAATTGGCCACGTTTGGCAACACCAAAGTGGGCATGGTCAAATTGGAGAATGTCAACGCTGACAGGAACCAGGTGGGCTGATTCCAAATCTCAGCCTCCTTTGGGAACCAAGCCTGCAGCATGCTGAAATTCAAAAAGGCTCGGAACGCGATCATATTCCAAGAAGCCTTGAAGTTCCTCTCCACCCAAATGAACATCGGCGCAAAAATGGCGGACGACAGGAAATGCAATGGGTAATATGCCATGACTCTCTGCCAGAAGAAAAGCTCTGGATTCGCCACTTTCTTCTCTTCAACTTCTAAAGCTCCAAGTTTTGTCGTCGTGTAGGCGGAGACATATCCTGAGATCACGAAGAAGCCACCAACCAAGACATTCTCCTGGGTCAGAAGCTTCAGAGCCGTCAAATTGCTGGTGCTGAACCTCAGCGCATTTTGTCACCTCTGAAGCGTTGCTCGCGTGACGAGCACGGAACTGTATGAATGGAAATGAAAGTAATATCGTAATCCAATGTAATATATATATATATAATGTAATATATAATATATAACTATACCCGGTCTTTGTCTTTGTCCGTCTTTGACAACTGATGGCAACTTATGACACCTTTGAGGTTCAAACCTGGCAAAGTGCGCCACGACAATGGGGAAGACGAGCGCAAATCGGCAGCCGTCGATGCAATCGAGGCGTGGCTTCTTGGCAACTGGCTTGGCATCCTTGGGTGGGACGGCAACTGCCTTGGCGTCGGCGTCCTTCTGCATGGACCTGTCACAGCAACAGAGGCACTGCTACCCTCCGCTTGAGAAACTTGCAAGAAAATATGTCAAACTAATTGAGGATATCAGGATTTCAAATAGAGTTAAAGGAGGTTGCTAGAGTCTGCAGGAGATTTGATTTTGCAGTCTTTGAAGCCGTGATGGGCTTGAGGGGAAAAAGGCCGGAAGAAAAGCTCTCTTCAATACCTGGCCTGGCACAATTCAACACCACAGGAGTGGCTCTATGTCTATGGCTGTCTATCTGCTTGAACCGAACTAGCTTGCGAAGTTGCTGGACTTTACAAACATGCCCTTTCATCGTGACTTTTACATGACCTACAAAATTGAACGGCTCCGGCTGTCTCCAGCTGTGACAAACCTACAAAGGAATCTCTTCCACCTGCAACACGTGGAACACATTGTGTTCACAGCCGGAACACGTTGTGAAAACGTTGTCCTTTCGGCCAAGGCTCGAAAGTTTCTTCAGCTCCTGGACAATCCCAGTCTGCTGAAGGACTACGCTGTCGATCACAAAGTCTGCCAAACGGTCCAGAACCTTTCAGACTTTCTGTCAGACTTTCTGTCAGACTTTCTGCTCGTTGCACAGAACCGAACACTTTAAAAAGTCTTCAAAAGTGTCTTCAAGTGTATCTCCTCAGACCTCCAAGACTCTGGGCCGGTCTAGGCCCTGGCGTAGTTGCTGCACACATTGCTGAACCTGGGAACTCAACTGGAAGTCATCAGCACAACCAGGCAGGCAATTCAAAACTCATGGCACTGATTGAGACGGGCTATGCCAGTGACTATGCATATCTGTACATTAGTTGGACAAGATCATGTCTTGCACACGTGTGGTCAACTGTGGCACAAGGTCATCGATGGGTCTTGCACCTCTGCAATGGTTCTCTGCCGGAAGAGTCCCGAATGCAACGAGGGCCCTGGGAGAGGCAGGGCCATTGGCACTGCAGGACCAAAGCCGAAGGCAGTGTCATATTGTGTCACATTCTCTCTCCCTTGGTTCCACAGATTACATTCACTTCGGTCCCTTTGTCTTGCAAGCTCACATTATGTGTATATATATATATATATATACATATATATATATATATACATATATATATATATACATATATATGTATGTATTGCTTATTTATGTTGCAAGGGAGTCCGCCTAACGTGACTGTTTTGCGCTGAGTGTTTACAATGAAAACATTGGATGCGCTGCAGTCAGCAAAATCAGTTCATGTTGGCTGTAGATTGCGGTTTGCCCTACAGATCCTACAGGCCCTGCACTATCAGCTATGCTTGTTGCTTGCACATATGCCTGTCCTCGACGAACTATGGGCAGCCACCTTGAAGCTGCAAGCTGATACAGGTCGAGATGAGACAGCTTGGGAACGAAGCAATTTGGATTGATGCCTGAACGCAACGTTATACATATATTCATATCTACATTCATTTCTATCTCATTCTGTTTAAGTAATTTATCTCTATGTCACTGTCTTTATCTTTGTCTATGTCTATGTCTTTCTCTACCTCATCAATATGCATGTATGAATTGCATTGTTATGAATGCGTGATGCATAAATCGTTATGGGCAACATCGTGCAACGCAATGCTCACAAACTCTTTTGCTTCCTCTGCTCATGCTGCATCTTTGCATGACTACGTGCATCAGCTTATGGCACAGTGCATAAGGCGCCAAAGGCACAAACCAAGGACTGCCTACGGCGAAGTAGCAACTTGGCTGAACTTGGCTGAATATACTGTGTCCAGGACTGTACTGTATCCAGTCAAAACAAATGACGGCTGATCATGTTTGGCCACGTTTGGCCATGTTTGATTCCCATTCTGCTTCTCACTCTGAGTCTTTTGTCGGCAGAAACCGTGCCATGGCAGATCTTGGCGTAGGGACAGGGCATCAGTTTTTCAGCCCTGGCTGGTGTCGCACAGCACATTTTTTTTGCCGCGCTCCACTGCTGCTGAGGCAATCTCAACAGCCCTGCTACTGGTGTGCTTTTCACAAAGATTATAGTAAGAAACAGTAAGTCTTTTCAAGTTACTGCAGAGTTACCATTTCATACCATTTCCATTCACTTTTCAGATCTTTCCACCGCAAGCTCCTTCCTTCAGATCAGATTTGTAAAAAGCACACGGAATCGGTTCCAGAACCCTGCAGCGGGATCAGAAGCCAGACAAAATGATCTAGTTCGCACATGCATGGTACAGCTCCCTACCTCAGATTTCACAAACAGTTGCCGTAATTACTCATAGCACAAAGGCACAAAGCACTCGAACTGACAGAAGACCTTCAGCAACCTCGGCGAATTGCCTCGCTATAAGGCGCCAGCTTTGACATTATTTAGCCTCAGAGAGCTTGCAGAGCTTGCAGTGTTTCGTACTTCTCCGTAATTGTTGATCCTGTCGATTCACCATGTTGCTGCTATTTTTTGCATGGTGTGCCTGCATGAAGCGACGGAAACGAGTGTTGTCCGCAATGACGCCCTGGTTGCTCCTGGCACAGGCATGGAACTTGTTTGCAGCTAGTCTTGGCGTGAGGTCGTTCGCGGTCAAAATTAAGTCTCCTGTTCAAAAAAAGTAAACCCAAACTTTTTCTGCAGAAACAAATTCCTTGTACTGTTCCATGCTTTGCTTTTTCCTCCAACTTGCAAACAAGGCTGACCGGCCTAGGGTCGCAAGGCTCACCAGTGTGGAAAGTCATATTAGTAGTTTGAAACCTAGCGGGGCCATGGGCCACACAATGCCACACACTCCGCGCAAGAGAGACTCTTTGATTGGATGGATCAAGTCTTAAAAACATATCACAGAGCCGACAGAGCCTGCGTTTGTGGCAAGTGTGGATGCCATCGTTGAAATCAATCGTCGAAGCATTCTTGTATGGAACTGGCGCATCATCTACCTTAGGACAGTGGACCCTAGTATTCCACAGTTCACAAGGCAAGTGGCTATTGAACCTTTTGTCCCTTTCTGCAGGACAAAGCTGAAGCGACCAACAGCAACACCGAGAACTCTTCAATAAAAGGGAACAAAAAGCTGCAGTTTAACACGTTTAACTATGCGCCCTATGTTTGTCCAAGTAGTATTGGTCTACGGTAAGTATTCGTCTGTGCTGTAAACATCTAGTCTAGGCAGGCATGGGTTGATTGTATTGATTTGATTGTGAAACCTTTGCATTGCAAGAACCAGCACTAATATCCCTACCTCAAGAACATGCAAAATATCAGCCTTTAGCTTTTATTGATTACATCCAGAACAAACAATGGCGCCCACACCACCATAGAATTAGAGTACAGTTATACAGTTATACAAAGGTTTCTAAATACACACATGCATCCAGAAAGCTGCACGTCACAACCATCCTGGACTGCTGGTGCTGAGTGCTTTTCCCGTAGTTGCATCAAAATCTTTCAAATCTGTCCTTCCTGAACGCTGTCAGACAACCTGTGCTCCAGTTCGCGGGCTCCATTGACTCTGCCAGCTGCGTGTTGCTTGCAGCTTAATGTGATGGGCCCTTGTGCCCGAAGCGGACCAAAAAGTTCTTTCAGCACCGTTGGCACACCAACCAAAACTATCCAAAACTCCAGCTCACAGTGCTCACAGGCCCCACAAATGCCTACACCTACGCTCAGACTCACCTGGACAAATGTACAGCACACAAAGACTCACACGCATCACCATACAGTCAGCATTAAATTACGTCAACAATTGTATATAATTACGCGTAAACACAAACGGACAGTCTGATTTTGTTGCACCATGTTGCATGGTGTTGCACCTAAAATACCTAAATCGTCCTAAATCCCATCCCTGGTCAGAGAGATGACTCTCAGATCGTTTACTCCGTTGGGTCCGAAATTGCGTCGCTCAATGCCCAACATTTTGATGTCGACCCGGCGCTCTTTTGTAGTTTGGAGCTGCTTCGCTGACGGCACAGAGCACAACCGCGACAAGACCCTGCAACTTTCTCCCATTTGCATCCATTGTTATTTGACATTCGTTTCCATCGGATGTTTGCGGTTAAATCTCCGAGGCTCTTGAGTTCTTGAGTTCTTTTCTTAGAAAGTCTCTTGCGCGAAACGTTCGTTGTGGAGCTGCAAGAGTGCTCTGGGTGCCATGCACATGGCAAACATGTCTTGCCATCTGAAACTCACAGCATGCAAATTTAGTGGGAGACATGATTTGTCGAGTGCATCTTTTTTTGCAAATACAAAGACTTCACACATTTGTCCCGGGCCAGGACGAGGACAGGAAACATAGCCAGCAAGCTTGTGTAGGGTGCAGATCCAGTACAAAAGACGGAGTACATACTTTTGGCATCTTTTGCCACTAAGTCACAAAACAGAATGCAGAACCTTCTGAACCTTCTTGACTTCCTGACTGAAATACCTTTGCTGTCGGACTACTCATTGGTTCACACATATGAGTACAATTTCCTGTGATAACTTATCAGTCTAAAGTCATGAGTACTCCAGATCACAAGAGTTCGAGCATTCCGTGCACAATATGTGCAAAGCCTCGACCTGGTTTTGTTCTGCAACAGATACTGTAGCCATCTTCAGAATAGACGCTCCGGGCTTCTTTCTCAAAAAGCATACCTTGTTTGATGATTGTATCATATGCCTTTCACATCGGCTGTTGTCTGATGTGTTTACTTAGCTTGTTGTATGAATGTAATACCTCAAGACACACAAATGAGACAGTAGAGGAGTGCCACCTGGACTCTATGTATATCAAGACTGTCGTGCTTTGCTATTGTCACCTCTGACGACCTGTTTGCTTTCGGATTTTCGGCAAGGGGGCAAAATAGGAAAGTCACTCAAAGACTCAACACATTTCAACTCTAGAAACTATTGACATCTATTGACAGTCTATTGACGGTCTATTGAATTGACACTTTTTTTTTGCTGGACTGCATAATTCCACTGGCCCTCCAACACAAAGGTGGGGGGTTCAAAACTTGCTACAGTGAGTTTTTGTTTCCTTACGCGGATCACGCTGAGTGTGACTGGCTTTCTCAAATGTCTTCACTTGACAAGACTTTGGCACGAACGACACAAGAAGCTTTTCTTAGACTTTCTTGGTCTCTCTTCATTCCGCGTTTTCGGCACCGTTGACGACTTCTCCCAAATTTTCCAAGACTCTGGCAGCCAATCGAGACCTAAATGCGTTTGGATTGTATGGCATCAGCGGCTTCCTGGCAGTGTCCAAGGTCTGTAGAAGGTCTGTAGAAGATCTGTATGTGCACCCCATGTGCAAAGAGTGCGTACACAGTGCAGACGTGTGCAGACACTACCAACGTAGACCATTCTCAGTCTGAGAGATCGTAATGATTGTGAGAGTTTCGAAGTGATTACACTGGACTTTATGATTGACTTTTCCAAAACTGCAGATTCAGCTCCAGAAAATCCAAAAGGTTCGCGGCCCCAACAGGATGTATGGCTTTCGATGCATTGGGGAAAGGCATGGAAAGGCTATATAATTTTCAACAAGAAAACTTCAATGTTAATAATCTTACAAAGCAAGCGCCGAAGTCAAATTTGAATGGTGGAATTGAGGCAAACACGTGAGTATCATGGAGGAGAGTAAAGAAGCTGAACCAGGAAGGCACTAGATGTGTTGCAAATACCAGGCTGTGACTAGTTGTGACTAGTTGTAACTAGTTGTGACTAGTTGTGACTAGTTGTGACTAGTTGTGACTAGTCTACAGTTTACTCAGATCTGCAAGTACTCCAATGGCCTGTCCATAGAGGCATAGCAGTATGGCATCTCACCATATTTCGCGGCCTGCGCAGGGGATCATGCAGGATGCTGGCTTTCAAGCACAAAGACCACCAAAGAACACCAAAGAACCAACAAAAAGTGAAGAACGTGAAGAACACGATCAATAGAACCAACCATGAAGTACCAAAGGACACACATACCTGGGATGGTCAGTAGACTATCGACAGCGATGCATGAGTACCAACAGGCATTGTGTCATTTTGAGAATGATTCAATCTTGTGAGCGCCAATGCTACCTCGGACTCTACTGTAATGAAGTTTGGTAGAATTCAATGCAACGTGAGGTACCGTAAAATAGTGTAATGTGATGTCATGTAGCACACATCTTGATTTCGTGTTCCAGTTTCTGAGGTTTGGTTTCAAAAGAACTGGCTCCACAAAAAAATACATCTACTTTTCCGCCGTTGCTAATCTGGCATGCAAATGTGAAACAAATTGTAATCTCCACAAATGCTTCTTTTTGAAGCCAATGCTATCTGTGAGACGATTGACGGCTGGGTCAAAAAAAAACAAATTTCAAAATAACGTCATTCCTAGCAGCGCTGCTGAACCTCAGTAAAAACACTGTGTCAAAGCGAAAGGCAAAGGACCACAAAATATCTCTCGTACGGCAGAATACCATGCATGACCGTTCGTTATTGTGGCATCATGCATATGTCCAACTAGAACTAGATGACATCATAGTGATTACATGACATCATATCGCATTCATTAATGAATGCATGTATACCTCTTTTTACACTTCAATGCATCTGTACGCCACATGTCAAAACCCAGTCTGAGTGACACAATAGTGATCATTACACTACATCACAGCACATCACGCAGCATGCTATAGCATTGCACCAGTATCACATTGCAAAAAAACAAGATTGGGTTGGGTTCCGCAATAGCCAAGAAAGCACAATACTATGTTACTATGTATGAGGAAGATAGATCATGTTGACCAAGTCAAGCTCATGCCGCATTTGAAAACAATATATAGAATTCTGTATAACTATCTATGTGCATATACTATGCATATACTGTAGCACTCCCAACCCAAGCTAGCTAGGGATATACAGCTCTTTTTGCTCGAAGTGGTTCACAATGTCTGGGTTGGCAATAGCTAGCCACGGCTGGTCAGGCAATGAAACAGCCATTCTTTTTATCACACACTCCTGGACTGTGGTGTGGGTTTGCTTAGTTGTTCGTCCTCTATTCATGTTGATACTCGCTTTCCGCAAGCAAACCCCAGAAGGATTGAAAATTTGAACAATTTGACAGCTGCTTCGGTGGTCCCTGCAGCTCCAGGATCTCTTTCACTGGACACTGGTCGGCATTTCAGGTAAGTGCCACTTGTGCCACTTGTGCCACTTGTGCCACTTTGATTTTAAAAAATGTTACATGTTGTTTTCTGTTTTCTACATTCCTAGCATTCATAGCTGCACAACCGGCTTCACCGACGACGCCGGCTCCGACTTCGCGATCGGCTTCTGCTGGCCTTGCTGCTCGACCTCGGTGACCGGTGGCTTCGCAGCCTTTCAAGTCTTTTTAGAGACTTCTTCCATTGGAAATTACTTGAGAATTGAACTTGACTAAACTTGATTGCTTCTCTCAGAGTTTTTTGCCAAGCACAAGTCACGCACAGTTGACAAGTCCAAAAGGTTCTTGCGTATCTTTGCGGCGACGGTCACGCCCACGGTCACGATCCCGGTCTCGATCACGACCTGGGCTGCAAGGCTCTGAGTGGCACAGCGGCAAATTTCAAATTCACTCCTTGACGAGTCAAGTTTTAATCTGTTTTTATTTATTTTTTTTAATCATTCCTTGAATCTATGGCATCAAGCCGAGCTGAGCCGAGCTGAGCTTGTGTCCTTTGCTTTTCTCTCTCGAAGGATTGCGCGCATCGGGCCTGTGTCAAAGGCAGTTGGGATCCTTCTCGGAGGACTACAGGCAAGTTCGGTTCACGGGCATGAATATGTGTTCTAGACTCTAGACTACACCGCATATAGATCAATACATAGATGGATAGAGACATGCAATACTGAATCCTGAATACTGAATACAGACTCTGTGCAACATGAGTCTATAAGAATGTCGGTTTTTTCCGCATGTGTCTACATACCCGGGCTTGCGATTGCAAATGAAGCATATATATGGGGGTTGTCCAAAATACCTTTTCCCGGACAGCCCTCAATCGCTCAGCCAATCGCGTAGCAACCGCGGTACCACAGTGAGCAATCGCGGAAGGGTTTGTTCTTCGTTGATCAGATCATATACAAAAAATATAAGTTATGTATTATATAATGAATCGTGACAAAAATTGTATTCTAATTCTTTGTAATATCATTGTTTTTCTGTATTCATTTTTTTGGCAATCGCGCAAAGCAGAGTAAACGCATCAATTCATAAATTTGTTATCTGCATTTACGGACGGCTCCCATATATATATATGTGTGTGTGTTTATGTAGAAACCCGTACTGTTCATGTCCGCTTTGTCGTCCAAGTCTCCACTATTGGGGAAATTGAATACACTAGAGTCACTAGATTGTCAAAAGAATGTCAAAAAACAGGAATAGGAAAGCTGAGGGAAAAAAGAGAAACAAGTCTTGTTGAGTACCTTGGAAGGAAAACCCTTTCTGCCCCGGAGTTCCGTCCTTCTCCGCGACGTTCTTTCACCATCTTTTCCATCCTCCTTGCCTTTTTCACCTCTTTCAGAGCCTCTTTCACTTTTTTCATTTTTCTCGTCCTTCTTTGGCTCACCTTCTTTTTTGGGCCTTGGTATCTAGATTGCATCAGACAGTTCCTACAGACCATGGTTCAGGTGTGCTCTGGATCCGGTTTGCCAATATCCTAGCCAAAGCTTTCATCGCAGCATCAGATCGCTGCAAAAGCGGCAAATCAAACAACCAAATCGGTTCCAGAAACGATGGAAGAAAAGCAGCAAAAACCGCATGAACGAATTTTGAACGAATGCAAGACAATGCAAGATTTGCGCTGGGGCACCGGATAGGAGGCCGGCCCTCAGCCCGAGAAACGTTCACCTTCTGACCATCGATCTTTTCTCCATCCATGTATTTAACAGCATCCTGCCAGGTTCATGCACCACCAGGCCAATAAAACTGGACTAGGTGAGACCCTGGCAGAATCAGTGCAGACAGTTTGAGCTTGAAAGCTCCTCCGCATCTCGCTTGTCTTTGAAGGATATGTAGACCTCTGCTCAGAAAAACGGCTGGCGCCGGCATAGCCTCTGCCCAAGATGTTTACACGAAGCTTACCCGCTCTAAAAGTCTTGCACTTTAAAGATCTTGCCTTAGCAATCTGACCATCTGATTCATCTTCCTGAACACAATGCTATCTATGTTATAGGCATCCTTAGGCATCCTTAGGCATCCATAGGCTTCCAACCGCTGTACCATTCAATGGAGTCTCAATCTTGATGATATGTCCAAAGTCCCCGAAGGCTGCCTGGACAGTGACACGCAGAAGTTACACTGATGGTTCCATTGGACTCATGACACGGGACAGCGATATCGTTGAAGCAAAATGTGCTGCCGAAGTTGTAGAGCAACCAAGTATCCCAAGTGTTCATGTACTCAAATGTACTCAAATGTACTCCATGTTCCTTGCCTGAAGCTGTCTCTTGTTTGCCTTCTGCCCCAATCCAGTGACACAAACTCGGTGTCCAATATCATAGTGCCAGCCTTGCTGCAAAGGTCTCAAAGACTGAATCCACTGGTGAGTTGTAGGGTGCACAAGTTTAAAGTAGCGAAGGCTTCTCAGAGACTTCTCCAATTCTTTGGAAAGGCTTTGGAACCAGAAGAGATAGAGGTGAAAGCATGTGCACCATGTGACAAATGATGATAAATGATGATAAATGATGATAAATGATGATAAATGATGATAAATGAAAAATGCCAAGAAGTCTCTCTATCGGATAGGAATGGATAAGTATCTGAGGAGTGAAGCTGTCTGAACTGAGGCCCCCATCCACCGGGTCCAAGGGGAACATTCGTCATGACCTGCGGTGGCTTCGAGATGCTTCGAGATGCTTCGAGCTCGACAGCGACCATGGCAGCTTCTGAGTGCAGAGTGCAAGCAGAGTGCAAAGTGCAAGCAGATCCGCGGAGCCTCGTCCTCCTCAAAATGCTCATCCAAGCCGCTTCCAAGCCATTCAGAAAATCCTCTTGTTCAATTTGTTCTATGCATTTCAGACTTGTTTCCAAGCTTGGTTGTTTCTTTGGAGACTTCAGTTGCTATTTGGAGGTGCAGTCTTTCGATATCTGCACAGTGCTTCCAATGACAAGATCATCTAGTTTACGAGAAATTTTTGCTAGTTAAGTCCAATCTAGTGCTTCCCAAAGAATCAGCTAGACTTTTGCATGGGCATGTGCTCATGAAATGCTTGCATTCCTTTCAATTTCAGGCGGTGAGTCTCCGTGATAGCCAAAGCAATCAGCAATTACTGCAGTAGCGGGCGTCAGGTTCAGTTCATCTTCATTGTGTACGTGAAAATTTGCACATCCAGTTCAAAACTGAAGACATATCTGCCGAAGATGCATTGCAGTTCTCAGGACCTTTGGATTTGTGGCTAGGCAGACAGGCTCACTTCTTTCTCGTCGTACGTGTCTTGAAGGTACACTTGATCCCTTTGAGCATGCCACGACTTCGATCAAAGCCAGACGATTTACATCTCCTCAGAGGGCAAAGGACTTGTCAACCTCCATAGCTTCGCAATATCTACATGACTCTCGAAAAAGGAGGTATGACAATGTCGCCATTGAAATGTCATTGGTTCTTGATTTCCAACGCTGGTGGACACTAGCACAGCCAGCTGCCTGGATCCGCCATGACCTTTGAGGCGTGCCATACGCGACCTGGCAGAAACACAGATGTTGCTCACATCAAAACGGTCAAAGCCAATCGAAGTCGAAAACGATAAGATACGATAAGAAGGACAAGTCGTATCCAAGTGTGACAAGGATGAAGGGAAGGGCTCTCAGCGCACGGCGATCCCCCAAGCTTTGGAAGAGGACTTAGGTCTGCTTCACGGGGCCTTCGAAGCTTGTGTCACATTAGACGTCTACGAGGCAATCCTCACGTCTTATCTGGAAATTCAGTTCCGAAATCCGTTCAGAGTGCCCGGCCTCAGGGGTACAAAGTCAAGCGCCTGAAGCATGGTTCGAACATCAGATGGCCCATGTTCAATAGTTCATGACTCAGCGAAACAAGTTCTTGCAACTGCTTGATAGCTTCAGACTTTTCACGATTGAAAAGCAAGGTGGCATAGTCGATTGCCCTTGCAGTTTTCTCCACAGACGGAGTACCATGCTATTCTTGCACAAACGATATTAAGATATGCTTTGCAGAGGATCGAGCACCTCCTGCTCTGCAGAACCAGAGCAGCGAAGACGTGCTACACCCTTGCAAAGGGCACTGATTGTGAGATTTCAAGTATGAGTTTGTTGATCAAAGGAGTCAAAGCCGAATCCTTCCCTTTATCTTTCGGGGTTGCCCAACCAAAGGAACACATGAACATTGAGACCAAGATCGCAAGAACTAGACAAAAAAAAAGGATAATATGTAAATATGATGTAGGTTTGTGATGAAGTATTGTGTTGGCAATCACCGAACATTCCACTGATGTCCCGCTGTGTGAACGCTTCTTTCCCACGGCGTGCCAGTGCCCACTCGAAGAGGGCAGCGGCTCCAGGATTTGCCCGCCGTACATCATTCGCCTTTCAGAGGTACACCATTCGCAAAAGATCAATAAGATCAAAAAAGATGTTCGGTCGTGCAGATATGAAGGTTTGGGAGGCTTTGCGATGGCCTGCATGCTCTCGAGTGATGCTAGAACAATCTTGGCTGTGTCCAAGGGAACACTTCTGGCCTTGGCTGTGAAATAAGATGCTGCAAGGAGTTATAAAGTGAGCTTCTTCGATCACATTGGATCAGCAGTTTTCGTTTCTGCAAGCATCGTAACCCAAAAGTTGCAGAAAAATCCACAGCCGGCTCCAGTTGCCGCCAAAACACATCAAAGAGGAGCAGCTCTGTCCGCAACGTCGGGGACCGAAGCACCTCACACGACCAATGGACCAAGCATGGCCGAAGGCATGGCCGAAGGCATGGCCGAAGGCATGCGCTGCGTTGTGTCGTATCAGCTGCGTCCCAGGTCCGGCGCTTGGAGCAAACTACCCCAGCGAGCGACAGGATCCCCACCTCGCAATGAATTCGATCCAAACAGAACGGCGTGTGCACTGAAAATCCAAGAACAATACTAATTAAATATAATTAATAACAATAGCGACTGCAAAAAGATATACATAACTATAGTAACTAGATACTTCGAGATAGGCAATGGCACATGTTTGTAGATGTATGCGTGGAGACGCTCACAAAATGCAGAAACACCGGACGTATGGAGAAGGGGTGCAGGACTTCCACTCATCTAACCCGACTATATTCGACTATGTAGTTGTTGAGGACCGTTTGGATCTGAAACTCTGGATGTTCAGTGAGATTTACCAGGGATCTCCCGGTGTATCCAATGTGTTTTGGTGCGTTCGTTCTTCGCATGTACATTGAAAAAGACAAACGAAGCAATCACGGCTTTCCTTGCTCACAAGTTTAACACGGGTTGAAAACAAATCGTTATTCCATGTTAAGTTATTTGCGCACATGTGCATATAGCTTGTAGACCCATATAAACATTACACTGTTTCACTGTGCACGTCAACTTCTTGGATAAATATTTACTGAGAGATCCTCCCATGGATTGACAATACCTCTGTTAAAAGCTGACTCACCTCAGCTTGCTTCCACGTATATAATATATTATAATATATACACTTTTGTAACAATGTATGCATAAATATTGAAAACCACTATAATCATGTGACATTATGTGTATATATAATTATATACAGACTGTACATTTGTGCAAAAATCAAAGGAACAAAAAGTTTAGAATCTAAACTTTTTGTTCCTTTGATTTTTGCACAAATGTACAGTCTGTATATAATTATAGATGGTATGCATGTGCAAAGGTAGCAGACGGACATCAAAAATCATCAAAACACATACGAAACCGCGCCTTGCAGTCCATTGAATGTACTTAGAAAAGTAAAACAAACTCAGGTTCAGATGGCATATGAGAATCTAGGATGATCTTGTTTGTACAATGTGTTTGCTCTGCCCTTGCAATATCTAGTTCGAACCTTTATGAAGACCTGCAACGAACATCATGTTTTCTGCCCATGATCTTCCGATGTCTGGGGTCCAATGCTTAGAATCCGGGTACTCTGCCCCCGAAGAAGTGCAACTGCATGCAAGACCTTCCTCAGTAGGAAACCGATGTCCAAACGATCACAGAGAGCCGGTCCAAAGATAAGGAAACTCCGGGGGGCAGACTCAATGCGTGGATCCTGCACTGCCCACTGGAAACACGGCATTTCGTAAGTGGCGAATTTTATCTTCAAGTTGACACTGGTTCCATATAAATCCAGGAGAAAATCAGGTTGGTTCCATCAGGATGAGCAAACGTAATATGTCATCTGATTGACTGCAGGCACAGCACGCATAGGTCACTTGGGTAAGGCAGCTGCCGGCTGCCGCAAGCTGCGCAAGGTCCACAGTTCGCTTTCTTCTAAATGACGCCTCGCACGACCAACACCGCCCTACCTATTCCTGCCTTATGTTGCCGTTCAATTCTTGTTTAATCGATTCCCACGGCGTATGGGCTCTTTGTACTCTTCTTTGGACTCTTCTTTGGACTCTTCTTTCCCTTCTTGACAATCTGCCAGTTTGTCACATTCTGTAGTTCTAATTGCACTCCTCGAAAATCCCTGGATCTTGACACATGTTGAGGGAAGTACAGGGACTCGTCGTTTGTCATCCACATGTTGACATCTCCACCGCCAAGTAGAGATCGCCTTGATTTCTGAAGACTTGTAGAGAAAATGTGAAGATTGTCGAGATGAGGAAAAATGAAACGGTCTGGCTTAATTGAAATTGTCAGCAACTTTCTACAGGTCTGTGAGCTTCTGAGAGCCTGACAGAGATCGGGGCTTGTTCATGGGAGTGTCGTACAGGAAGTGGTTCGGCCCGAACTTGGTCGCTACCTGATTTGAAAGCTGGTCGAGTATACATCTGACCCCATTTCAACATGTTTCAGCATGTTTCCCCTTGCAATCCGATGTTTGATGCATCCGTCCACCCCCCTTCTTGCTGATCCATGACTTCACACTTGGCTCTGAGGCCTGAACACGGGGCTCAGGCAATGGTGGCAAAAAGCTGAAGTCAAAGTTCTGTGAGCGTTTCTCCTTGACTTTCAAGCAGAGTTCAAGTATCCGCAGCATATCGAATCTAAGACATAACATATTGCATGCATCTTTTCTCATATTCAAAGATAATGTGCGTGTGATGAAGAATGAAGGATCTGCAATGTTGCGTCTACAGAATGCAATACATCATATATAGTTCTACAATATATTTCATGTGCAAGATGCAACCGTCTTGTCATGTTTTACAGAATGTAATTTGTGTATAGATTTGAATGGATACATGACGATACAGACAATGATACAGACAATGAAACATGTATTTAATGTATTTGAGATTATTTGAGCTACTATCTTTACACTCAAACTGCACCGTGTAGTGACCATGTCTCTCCTGAGGCCCGATTCCGTGCATTGGCACCTGTGCTCGCTGTGCTGTCAAAACGTGCAAGTCGAAGTAAAATGATTTTAAAGTATTAACTTATCTTAAGTCTTATATTGAAGTATCAAATTTCAAAAGATTTCTGGGACAGTCTGACAGTCTTGCCAGTTCCAACTGGTTCCAACCCGTTGTACCAGCATGGCCTCAACGCTCGCAGCAAGTTTGATGTTGGTGATCAGCTCCTGGCTGTAAGACATTGTAAGACATTGTAAGATGCAAAACTGGGGGAATTTGAAACATTTCATAGCTATGGCGCTACCTTGCAGCGTTCAACCACGAGAGCATAGATCTCCAGCCCAAAGATCTCCAAGCCAAGGTTTCTGCCATGATCCTCCAAGACTGCAATGGGTACAAGAATCTTAGTGTCGCTCATGGAGACTCTGAAGCGACGGTTTTCCAATGTTTTGATTATGATTTGATATCTCTCTCTCTCTCTTCAATTTGAAACCTGTTGGAGGTCAAGAAAGGCATGGCTCCTGCCACCTGCTCACAAGCAGTAGCATCCCCTGTCACGCAAAGCAATTCGGCAGTTGATCCACGGACACAACCATCTTGACGAAATAAAATGTTGCAGTACTTTCGCGAGATTTTTGCGAACTCCATGTTTATCTTTCGCCTGACCCATGATACGTAATCTTGGACCTTGGATTGCTTCATGATCACCCTGCAAACATGCAGGTAGCATCACAGAATCCCTTCTCATGGCATTGTCGAGCTTATATTTGTAATCAAGCTTATTGGGCCACCCCTTCAAAATTCATGTTCACTTTCGGCAGCTCCTTCGCAGAACCTTTGAGAAAAACTCCCTGTAGTTTGTATACGTGTATGATATCTAACTTTTGCGAAGCTTTCGCGAGAACAAAATGCAACGTTCCCAAACTCAAAGAATCAAAAACTCTGTCGAGGATTTGAACCATGATACGAAGGGTCTTCGCAATCATAACTCTTTACAAGGATCTTTGGATCCACGCCGACAACTGAGTAAACTGAGCAAGTATACCTTGATATACCTTGGATGTCTCTCAGTTTCTTTGTGTTTCCATGACTTCATGCAAGAACTTACAAGAACATGATGCCCCACCTGTATTGAGGCGCGTCTAAGAACACTCAAGATTTTCCTGCCGGGCGGGATACATTGTAATAACATTTGAAAAAAATTGCATACTAGTAGTCTAGATGACTCAGTAATGGCTTTCTCGTTTTTTTTGTTTTGGACAGCCAATTGGTTTTGCGTCTTGCAGTTTTATCTCATGAACCTGAGGGTCAAGTCATCTACACTAGCAATGGAGAAATATCAGGTCATTCATGGTCAAACTTCTTCACATTGACTCCCTGCTCTAAGTCTCTGACTCACCACAACCATCGTCAAGGCCATCCTGATTGTGAAAGGGCGGAAGCAAAGGCAGAAATCACCAAGTGCGACAGAGGCTAAAATCAATCTGCTCGCATTTAAAGCTCAGTGACACCTTGTGACAACCATCCTGCTTCGGATGAAACCCGGGCCTCCAGTCCCTCAAGAATCACACCTGTATCAAAGTTTCTTTTCAAGGGCAGCAAGCACAAAATTCACAATTGCATTGATCAACAACTAAATCGCCCAAATGCCTTCACGGTACCAACTCGGTACCTAAAACATCCAGCAGATTCAGCGATTCACCCACATGTTCAGCACCTTGGGTTTCTGCGTGCTCTTGGCCTTGAGATTCCTGGCCAAGCAAAGTTGCTCAAAATGACTCCAATTCGCCAACATGTTGAGATGACCTTTCAAACATGTTCATCTCAAGGTTCAAAAGCTTCCAGTGGAGATTTGAAGGATGTTTGTAATTTTTTGTAAGTTTCAGATGGATTTGTGAGGCTTTCCCCAAGGGCGATTCGCCATGAATGCCTGTGGCAACTGAATGAAGCGGTACGCGTAAGACCAGCCTCAGCTATGCGATTGGAGGAGTTTGAGTAGTGATTGAACCAGCAAAAATAGGAAAATCATCCGCAAAAACTAGGGATTTACCTTGTTTACCATGAAACATGATGATTTTATAATTGATTTGCGATAACTAATTTGGTTTATAACGAGCTTAACTGTGCTTTATTGCGATTATATCAATAGGTTTACGGTGGGTTTATAAGCCAACAGACATCACTGGGCACCAGCTTGTAGGGACCTATCCATAAGAACAATGATAAAACAGTCCCAATCTATTGGATGATTAAAGTTCCCAAAAGTTCTCTATTGGGAGTTATTCTGGATCATTGGGGACCATATTGGGGACTAATCCATGCCCCTAGCATTAAGCATCCCCATTGTATGGTCCCAAATATATCTAAACCCCCTATAAAACTATGGCTTCTCGGGGGTGAGTATTGGGGTGAATGGTTTATCATGCCCAGAATCCTGTATCGATTTGCGGGATGACTCAGGATGACTCAGGATGACTCAGGATGACTCAGGATGACTCAGGATGACGCCCTATGACATGTTTCTATATGTTAAATCCAGGGATGCGTGGACACCTTCTTAGGCAAGAACTAGCAACTCCCTGAAATGCAGAAGCAGCCTGGAAAGCCTGCCAAGTCAGACTTTCATGTGAATTCAATAAAACTGGTGCTGCCTGATTCATATGCAAGAATGACTTTTCATGATTTTTATCTATATATATATATATAGATGATTATATATACATATGACATGAATGATATATACAATGATACATGTACCACGGAGATCCAGAAGTTTCTGTATGTTGCAAATCAAGGTTTCTTAGGATGTCTAGCTGAGGCGCAGCCACGCACCTGTAGAATTCGCGCAACGTCATTTAGATCAGCAACAGCACCAATATGTGCTTGCCTTAGCAAGAACAGCAAGAACAGAACAACACTCGCAATTGCTGAAGTGTAAACTGGCTAAGGCGGCTAAGGAGCATCAAGCATGCACGCAGAATGCACAGAAGACCAAGCACTACACAGAAGCCATTGCATCATCGCAAGAAGTTCCGGCAGCTTGTGCTGATGAGTCTCTTGGGCAGTCAACAAACCCCATGTCGTGTCAGTGCTTTCCTCTGAGCCCGTCGCAAGTAGCCGCCTCTCACCTGTCGAGACTTAAAGCTTGGTAAAGGCAATGAGTAAAGAAACAACTGCATTGTCATGCAAGACTGGAGGAAACATTCTGAAATTACAGGCAATGCCCAAGAGGCACTTGGCAGTTCTTGAATGTTGATATTTTTTGCCTAAAAGTGTTCTATCTTCATGTGACGCTTGTAATATACATGTGCATATATATATAATTGTATATACATAATATAATTATGTATATATGTAATTATATTATATATAATTATATATATTATAATAATTATATATATAATTATATATATTATATATATAGATATTATATATATATATTATATTATATATATATCCTGATACTGTAGCTTATTCCAGGCAAAGAGCCATCAAGCCTCTCTACGCTGTCCCGACGTCACTGTATGCAGTGGATCCTTGGTGAGCCACCCAGAAACCATGATATTGGTCGGCTAGTCTCAGCGAATGCCTACCACTGTCAAGTTTCATTCAAGTCGCTTGTTACACGTGCTCTCATTTCTGCATCTCCACCCACTTTGGTAAGTTAAGGAATTCGCTACTCAAAACAAATCTATCAACAGCGTTCTGAATCCAATTTATTCCACCATGCTCAACAAAAGCCGGGGGAGCGGTAGGGGAAATCTCGAGTTTTCCTAATTCTTCTTTAGTTACAGTCAAACGACAAGCTCATGCCTAACTCATGCCTGGGTCAAAACTTGCTAGTAGATCACCATGGAATCGCTGTTTCAAGAAAATCATGCCTAAGTCATGCCCAAATCTTAAAACACCATGGAATCGCGTATGTATAAGAAGAATGTTTCCACACTTGGGAAAATCAAATGTTCGCAAAAATCCGTCTACAGTTGCATTCTACAGTTTATGTTCCTGGGGTTGAGAAAAACTTGCCGCTTCGGTCCGCTGACTCTTTTCGCTTTGCTGACTCTTTTCGCTTTGCTGCTCTCAGGTAGATAGTCAGAGAAGGAGAGAGAAGGAGAGAGAAAGAGAGAGAAAGAGAGAGAAAGAGAGAGAAAGAGAGAGAAAGAGAGAGAAAGAGAGAGAAAGAGAGGAGACATCAACCACCTTTCGGTCCATCAGTGTGACTCGGTATGGAAAATGTTACTCTTGATGCTAAACACAACCTAATCGCAAGGTTTATTAGCAAAAACTATTCCAAAGACCAAATCCAACAAAACATTGCAATTCCTATGCGTCTTACTAAAAAGGCACGACTTTTCAAATCAAGTGCTCCCCAGCTATTTACGATGATTTCCAAATTTTAGGCACGACTTTAGCAGTCAACTGTAGTCTTTCGTGCTTCTTTGTATGCCACGGCCAAATGTCCTATGTGCACCATTGTGCACCAGCCTTTTATTAGCTGGGTTTTCTGCGTTGATGTTGGAGACGGCAAGCTCAGGAGGAAGCTCAGGAAGCTCAGAGACCTTGGTCAGCGCATGTCCCTGCAGTGTTCACTCAGAATTTTCACTGCACTTAGCTACAGCGCAAAAGCTGCTTGACATAGGCAAATTGCACACCGCTTGACATCGGAGTTTGACGAAATCAGGTTCACACATGGCAGCTGTTTGAGGTGTGCTGGTGTGCTGTTGTGCTCACAGCCGTTTTATTGTTCTGGGTCTGGAACCATGGTCAACCACACGCTGCAGCCCAAACCGACTGCATTGCGTCACACCCTGCCCGCATTTGTACCGAATTCCTTGCAGCTGCACATTGCTGATTAGTGTTGGGCCTGGAACTGATTCTTGTTGGACCATTCTAGTCTGGCCTGCTAATGGTTGTATTTGTATACACTCTTTATTACAATGTATTACATTACACATATATTACAGTGGATTTTTTTTTTAAGTCCAGAATGTGCAAAAAACTGCTTGAGAATAGTTGTCCTATGTTGTACTGGAAATGTACTGAAGATCTCGCTCTTCAAATCTCCGTTCAAAGACTTGTCATTGAAAGGGGGTGAAATCTGCAGCAGGACAGGGTTGGGTTTGGCAATTGAATTTGCAGGGTTCCTTTCAATTAGTGACTTGGAAAGCACAATGAAATGGTCTTCTCTGCCCTCCTTCACAAGGCGAGAAGTGCGCTGATTTGGCGCAACCATCCACAGCGCCGCTGTTTTCTGCTTCCGCTCGGCGAAATCTTTGATGCCATTTGATGCCAAATTAAAATCAACACTAAACCAAATGTACCAAATCTATCCAAATCTTCCTTTCTTTGGAGCCACATTTTTTTCTCAATTTTCTGGCACTCAGAAGCCTTGCATTGGCCTCGTGACCGCAAGGGCGGACCTCAGCATGTCAAGCTCCTCTTCGTCGTGTTGACAGGCAATGCAGCTCCCTACGGGAGGCAAAGGATTTACGGAGATATATTAATGATAATATACGTGTTTGAGTCAAACAGATTCAAAGCCTCAAAAATGTGCAAAACAAGTTTACAAAAGCACAACATCTTGTGAATCATCATGTGCAATCGTCTTTACCAGGCCACAACAAAGATGGCTTTGTCGCGCATGTCGGGAAAACACAAACGCAGATAGTGTTCTTAGAAATACTTTTAAAAACTCGAGAAGCTGCAGCATCTGAGGCCTTTTTCTAGCGTCGGCAAGGCCGCTACTAAGGCTGACTCCAGCGGACGAATTTTGACAAATATGGACAGATACAAAGAGCATCAAAGAGCCAAGGCTGCGACAAGGCTCTTCAAGGCTTAATTTCAATCAGCTTTCGACACCGGCCTTTGGACGGTTGCCCACATCCCCGCATCGCGGCATTGCACGATGAGGCTTTAGCAGCTTAGCATGACGAAAATGTCCTGAAATGGCAGATGCATCAATTCAGCCAAAGTCGTGCATCGTCACTCGATGTTTGGCCAAAACCACGCAGTCCAACGCAATTCCTTCTCACAACAAGGACCTGTTCTTTGATCGTAGCATTTGTTGTTCCCCAGCATGGCCCAGCCTCTACAGCATCTCCTCCATTTCTTCTTCAGACTCCTCAAAGTCTCCAGTGAGCTCCTTGCGCGACACAAACTTCACTTGGAGATCCAAATTGGTGTATAGAATGTAGCATCAAGTACCAAGCCGTTATATCGAATTCGATAGTAATTTACAACTATGGATCAAATATGATCAAATTAGATAGCAATCCAAAATCTTTGTACCACAGAAATATTGGGAGCTGCCTCAACAATCTGCTTCGGTCTTGATGTATCCTTTTGTTGGATCAACATGGTGGATATAAGTCGGTGTGACACACGTGCGACACAGAGTATGACGCTTCTCAAGCCTTGGAGTGCTTAGCTTCCTTCCGCCATTCTCTCTTTGGCCCAATTGGGCAATGGCCTCTGAGAAATGAAGGACCTAAGGAATTTCATGGAACTACATGGAATCTCATTGGCGTGCCGTTCTCTTTCAGAGATTATCAAGTTGGTCTAGTGGCTCTGCATTTGTTGCGTTCTCTTCCCTTTAGCTCAAACCATAAACAACCAGTAGTTCAGAGTCTTTGTGGATGTTCTGGAAATAGATCGTGCAACAAGTGCCGTGCAGTGCAAAAGCAAGCCCAGGGGGGAATTACCATTTGAAAGATTGGGCAGTTCACTCGCCTGCTACCTGCTGACGTTGTGGAGACGCAGGTTTTGCCCCCACCTGAATCGAGACTTGATCAAACTACATCAGATGACTGCAGAAATAAAGGAGAGCTCCTTTCCATGCCCAAGCTAAACAAGATCCAATAGCATATGCTGTTCCTTCAGCCTGGTACATTTTGGTCAGAATCCTGGTGCATCCAAAGACTTTCATATTTTGAATATTTTTGAATGGGCGCGAAATTAATTTGGCTAGTCTTTTTTTTCTTTGGCATTTGTTTTTTCAGTCTGGGGCAGTTTTCCTTGCTACTTGCTGCATTTTGGAGCTAAAATCTCTGATTTTCGTGCTATTTGCTGCATTGTGGAGCAAAAGTCTCTCATGTGCGTTTTAGGTTTCATCTAGGGTTTCTTTAGGGTTTCATTTAGGGTTTCATTCAGGGTTCCTTTAGGGTTTCTTTAGGGTGTCATTTAGCGTCTCTTTAGGGTTTGATTTATGGTTTCTTTAGGGTTCGTTTAGGGTGTCTTTAGGGTGTCATTTAGGGTTTCTGTAGGGTTTCTTTAGGGTTTCATTTAGGATTTCTTTGGGGTGTCTTTTTGGCTTCTTTAGGATGTCATTTCGGGTTCATTTAGGGTTAGGGTTTCTTAGGGTTTCACTTTGGGTTTCTTTAGGGTGTCGTTTAGGGTTTCTTTAGGGTTTCACTTTGGGTTTCTTTAGGGTGTCGTTTAGGGTTTCTTTAGGGTTTCACACAACTCAACTCACGTAGATAAAGTTGGAGACCAGATTCAACAAGTGTCGTGAAATACTTTTGTCTGGATGTTGAAAAAGGTTGCAGTTTCTCTCACACAAGCATGCATATAAACTCAAAGGTAAACTTCTGATGCAACCATTGTGAAACACAATTCAAGCAAATATAGTTGAAGAACACAGTTCAACAAGTGTCTTGAAATACGGTCTTGAGAACTTTAGGAACAAAAAGTAGTTACGACACTTGTTGAAAACAGGTCTCAATTCCTCTCACAACAGCATGCATATAAGCTCATATTACGTCTGTAGTTTCTGTGCAGTTTCATGTAATTTATATGCAGTGTATTACAGCAGTATATGAAATTATGAAATGTTACATATATATATATGCAAACTACAATACTACACATACATTCAACAGAAGCGCGGCCAAAAGCCAAAGCCAAAAGCCAAAAGCCAAGTGAAGCCAAAACCAAAAGCCAAGAGCCGAAGGCCAAAAGCCAAGTGGAGCATGCAAATGGGATATTTTAGCTCCAAAATGCAACAAATAGCACGCAAATCAGAGATTTTGGCTCCAAAGTGCAGCAAATAGCTTGGGAAGCTGCCCCAGACTGAAAAAACAAAAACATCCCGACGGATCTTTCACCGTCCCATGATTTCTCAAAAACATCGTTTTCGTGCCAGCCAAACGCACATTCTGGGTCCAAAAAAGTTTCTTAAAAAAAGTTCATCGCAAGATGCTTTCGTCAACCCTTCCAGCATTTTGTGGTCAAAAACGTTCCGGGTTCGGTTTTCCTTTTTTCAGCTCACAGTTTTTTTGCATAAAGACATGTCCACAGGGACGCCAAAAAACATATATATATATATACATATATATATATATATTATATATATATATATACATATATCTATACAACCATATTTATTTATGTGTATCATATCTATATATGTGTCCATCTGTATACATGAACATTCATATTACATATAGTGATCGCAATATCGGAGTAGGTAAACATATGTAGATGCGAAAAATCTACAGGTAAGAATCTATATATATGCCTCTACGTATCTGTAGTGCAAGCGACCGTTAACATGCCGAACATGCCCCACCCCACCCCACCCAACCCCAACCTCATGCGTGACGTAGCATCAACTTCATGACGCAAGTGCAAGCGAACGTTAACATGCCCCAACCCACCCCACCCAACCCCAACCCCATGACGTAGCATCAACTTCATGACGCAAGTGCAAGCGACGTTAACATGCCCCACCCCACCCAACCCCAACCCCATGCCGTAGCATCAACTTCATGACGCAAGTGCAAGCGAACGTTGCCCCACCCCACCCCACCCAACCCACCCACACCCATGCGTGACGTAGCATCACTTCATGACGCAAGTGCAAGCGAACGACATGCCCCACCCCACCCCACCCAACCCCAACGCCATGCGTAACGTAGCATCAACTTCATGACGCAAGTGCAAGCGAACGTTAACATGCCCCACCCACCCCACCCAACCCCAACCCCATCCGTAACGTAGCATCAACTTCATGACGCAAGTGCAAGCGAACGTTAACATGCCCCACCCCACCCCACCCAACCCCCACCCCAAGAGGTTTAAGATGATATGTAAAAAAAATGTCAAATTTGTGGGCCGGTAAAAGATCCGACTGCAAAAACATCCTTAAAAAAAACAAGCAGAAAGCCTCCAAAAAAATAAAACTGCCCAAAAAAAATATACCCTCCATAGAAAAATGCAGCCAGAAGCCAGAAGCCACAAGCCACAAGCCAGAAGCCGAAGGAGCCAAAAGCCAAAAGCCAGCCAAAAGCCAGAAGCCAAAAGCCAAGAGCCGAAGGCCAAAAGCCAAGTGGAGCATGCAAATGGGATATTTTAGCTCCAAAATGCAACAAATAGCACGCAAATCAGAGATTTTGGCTCCAAAGTGCAGCAAATAGCTTGGGAAGCTGCCCCAGACTGAAAAAACAAAAACATCCTTAAAAAAAACAAGCAGAAAGCCTCCAAAAAAATAAAACTGCCCAAAAAAAATATACCCTCCATAGAAAAATGCAGCCAGAAGCCAGAAGCCACAAGCCACAAGCCAGAAGCCAGAAGCCGAAGGAGCCAAAAGCCAAAAGCCAGCCAAAAGCCAGAAGCCAAAAGCCAAAAGCTAGTCAAAAAAAAATGCCGGAAAAAATGCCCCTCCTTTTTGAATTGTGTGTGTCTTGTGGAACTTGTGGAACTTGTGGAACTCGTGGAACTTGTGGATTGTACGCGACATGTTTGTGTTCCCATCTCCGATCTTCAACCTCGACCCAAAGCTCTTGCTGCGAGAGCTCGGCCGCATTGACAGCCTGGGAAGTCGTCTCGGCGGAACTCTCCAGATGTACTGGAGACTTTGCATCAAACCAAATGACTTTGCATCCCAAGTGTCAAGATAAAAACACTCAAATGATCTCAAGATAATCCGAAAATATGACAATCAGTCAAAATCTTCGCTCAATGTGTCACCTGTCTCTGTCGCTGGATTTGAAGACATGTGTGAATTTGTGAACATTTCTGAAAGCGCCGTGCCTTGCATTTGATGGGCGAAACGTCCCCTTGGCAAGAAAGAATCAGCAGCCATATCAATATCATCCAATATCGCCTTCATACTTGTTTGAAGTGCCTAATAGCTATTCCGATAAGAGGTGGAAAGTGGTATAAGTAAGTATAAATAAGAAAGCTAATAGCCAGTTTCAAGAAAGTTTCGGAACTTCATGGCCTGCGCTTGCTCGAGAGGGGCCAAGACGAAGCTGGGCCTTCAGGACACAGAATCCGACGTGTAGATATTCACAATGCACAATTAAATAACACAATTATGTACAACATGCACAATATGTTCATCAACATTCTAGTAGTTTATTCATGTAAATTATAGTCATTATAGTCTATTACAATGTGTTGCAATGTTGTATAATGGACATGACATGACATGACATTATCTGTGAGAGAGCGAAAAAAAAGGTTGACCACAAGCCACTGGAGCCAGTAGAGCACAGGATGACCGCGAGCATCAACGCAATTCAAGGTTGACTTGCCAACAGAAGGGTGGACAAGGTGCTTCAGCTTCATTCTTGGCGCAGCGAAGGAGATGAGCAGCCTGCACATGTGAAGGGACTGTACAAAACAAGTGAGAGCTTCTGCCGGAATTTCAAACCTTGGAACCCCGCCTCCGTTCGTTCCAGTGAGAACATCTGTGGTGTTCTCGAAGGCTCATCCTGCCAAAAAGGATCGAAACGCAGGAGGCTAGACGGAGGCTAAACGGAGGCTACAGGCTGCAACAACGCCTGAACACCCAAGGCCAGCGAAGCCAGACTTGGAACGAAGACGCGCTCCTCAAATCAACATCAAGATCATCAAGATCAAAGAAAGAACCACACAGCAGCCTTTGCGGCAGTGCATGGTAGAGTTGGCACATTGAAAACCATTAGTAGTGCTTGAAGATGCTCCATGCAATTAAAGCAACATGAACTATGTAGGTTGTTAATCGAAAAGCAATTACTGCTAGTGTCTGTTGCTGATCCCTGCTGCTGTTTACAACCTTTGGGCCAAGTGTTGCTTCTGCTTTTTTCTTTCGCAGCATACTTTGGCCACTCGCCCGTGAAAGCCCGGGTGCGGCCAGCAAATCATGTAGGTGCAGTAGCAGTGACGTGTCAACTGCTGTGCACGTTTGAAGTGAAAATGCCTTGAGGTGCCAAGACCTGATTTATCGACAAATTCAGCGGTGTTGAAATAAATTAAAATGTCAAGATTATCGGGGAGAGTTGCAAGAGATGACAGAGCTTGTTTACGGCCTCTATGATCTTAAAAAGGACATGATTCCAGTCATTCCCCTTGGTCGTTTCCCATGGCATTTGGACAAGTGGGGCTTGGCACGTCTCAAAGGGCTGCACGCCTGACTAGGCTCCTCTCCAGAACCTTGTACCTTTCTGCCATCCTTTGCCCTTCAAGGGCCCCACAGCCGTTCACCAGTAAGTTGCTGGTCCGCCGGCATGGTTGCCAGTTCCCGCAGTCTCCAGTAAGGGAGCTGGGAATGGCAACCGAACTGCTTGAAATTTTCGCACAGCGAAAGTGCAATTTCCTGACAATTGAAATCATTTGGAATCAACCTGATGAACTTCCTCTATTTGGGCTTTGATTTACAAACCGTCGACACCGGCGATCTGTCCGCTGTGGGTGATTCAGTTTGAATCATCTAAAGTTGTTTTCAGCACCAGCGCTCTTTGAGGTAAGCGGTGTGTTGGCTGAAGAGGGCGGATCATGAAAAAATACACATAATGTGTATAAATATATATATACATATTATATATATATACATATATATATACACACGCGCAAAGCTGAAATGCCAACAGACTGAGTTCTTTGAGAACGCTTGCGTTCCTCGATGAAGATCTTGTTCTAATCTTTAGAACTGTTTCTTGGAGTCACCGTCCTCATATCAGCAGTGTAGCAAAAACACGGTTGTCGCTCCCCTTGAGCTTAAAAGCTCGGCTGGTCTGTTCCGAAATTCTCAAAAGTCCCCAGAGCGCATGAGAGACGTCTTCCGGGAATCAAACAGTTTTCTGTGCTGCAGGATATCAGAAGAAAAAAACATAGGGTTTCACAAGGAATTGGAGGATGTGGATAGGTCATGATAGGTCTTGAATCATTTTGTTTCAGGTCTTGTTCTTCTCGGTTTGAGATTTCAAAATGTCGACTCCTGCGCTCTAAGGCCTCGGGACCTGAGCCTCCCTGAGAAGACTGCTGACAGCAACCGAGACACTCAACACTTTCATCGCTTGTAGATGTAATCCTTCATCCACTCCTGACTCACACATTGACTCACATCGACTCACATTCACCATCTAAATCATGACACACAAATCACACAAGACATCCGACAGATCTGTAGTGCAGAAACTGCAGTTGCATAATATATCACATATCAACTGTAGATATCCAAAATAAAGATAAACGAAGTCCACTGACCAGTAGGCAGAAAGTGGTGGAAGTGACTGCAGCCTACATGGTTCTTCTGATCTGTCTGCGACTGAACCATTCTCTGTGTCCTCCTCTTCTCCTTCCTCGCCCCAAGGGTCAATCGCGGAATCCTGACCCTGCCGTCCTGGAAGCTGTGAAAGATTTACTGCATCTTGTCGCACTTGTCATTTGACTCATTTGACCTTTGATTTTTTGTTTGTTTCATTTTCAACATGTGGATTTGAGCACGGTAGTCTCATGAGAGGACAAAGCTGAGAAAGCAAACAGAGAAAAGTGGAGAAAAGTGTATACACAAAGCAAACACTCTGCGACTCTGCGTATCCTGTCCGACACTTTGTGAGATAAGCACAGCCACGGAAGCATCACTGTGGCGACAGCGTCCTGTGGGCGCATTCTGCGCCTTCCACATCAAGTTGTCAATGTAATCTTTGGCACCTTAGCTTGTCTTGGCTTCAATTGTTCTCTGCTGTTTTGCTCAAAATTGAAGCTCAACTCAACTGCATGTCTTCTGCCGAAGTTTGGGTTCCCACGAGACACATCGATAGCATCACCAACAATCACAACATTCTGGCAAGCAGAGTGCTCTCGCGGGATGTTCACCTTGACCTGCCATGTCTGAAATCGAACAGTTCGGAGCAGGAGCCCAGCAGAGCTCAGAAAATGTTTGGTGAAATCCAAGGGAAAAGACCCTTTGGAATGACGCATTGCCCACCGACCTTTGTTTGGACATCTTGGAACGTTCCGTCCGAGTCCAATGGCAATGAAACATGAGCAACGAAACTGCATTTCTGTAATATTGATCAACGTTAACCAAAAGATTGCGCAACTATAACTCCAAAGCACGTTGGTCAATTTGTTCACCAACGATTTGTTGGACGTTCTTGCTGTCTTCGCCTTGTAGTTGTTCTGGATGTGGCGGAGCTCAGAGCCGGCCTTGCCAATGAGATACCTGGAACACGACGCTGATTAGCATACTATTCGCACAGTGTGAGGGACACACCAGAATATATACATACATACATACATAGATACATACATACATACCTACATACCTACATACCTACATACCTACATACCTACATACCTACATACCTACATACCTACATACCTACATACCTACATACCTACATACCTACATACCTACATTACCTACATTACATACATTACATACATACATACATACATACATACATGCATGCATGCATACATACATACATTACATTACATTACATTATGTTACATTACATTACATTACATTACGTTACATTACATTACATTACATTACATACATACATACATATATATATAATTAATTACACATATACATGATCCACAATACATAATACATTCTACATTATAGGTTATACGTTACCCACAATACATAATACACAATACATAATACATTATGCATTATTTTAAACACTATACATTATACACTATACATATGCATAAAGATCCATAAATATGTACATATACATATACATACACATGTCATGTCATGGCATATCATGTCACGTCCTGTCCTGTCATGTCATGTCATGTCATGTCACGTCATGTCATGTCATGTCATGTTATATATATATATGTATGTATATGTATGCATATACTTGCGTGTGTACATAGCTTCATATCTATATAGTTTCACATTTTCATAATCACATATCTGAAATAAAGTCTGCTAATTTCTCTTCTTGGCTGTCGTAAAGAAAATCCTACTTCGCAGGAACTTGTTGCGCTGCCTTGCTTGTTTCCGGAAGGGCAACTAACCCTGCAACAAGAGCACAGGCATAAAATTGATTGAAATTGCACAGTTGCAGCCCTGAATGTCCATGGTAATTTGAAACTCCATGGGCTATATAAATAGGGATGAAGGTAAGTCTGCGCCCAATGAATGCCACTGATGCGGGCCAGATTCTCTTCCCAAACGCAGCGCAGTAGGCAATGCCCATGCAATACAAGTTTGGTTTGTTGCACATCCCAGAATGACCGCTTTCAAGATCTTTCAGGCAAACACGTTGCACCTGTTGTGACTGAGGCTCGGGCTTGTAGGCCCATGCTTCAACTTCCATCTCTTCATGGGTCTGCACCGCAAACACACTCACTGATAGATCAAAATAGTTAGAAGCGACATGAAGCAATGTGAAGCTGCAGGCTGCAGGCAGCAAGAATACTTCCAGGGGTTGGCAAATGATGTGGCAACGCAACAAAAAGGGTCACCTGTCATCGGGAAAGTAAAGAGACATGTCGAGGTTCCACCTTTCAGAAAAATTGAGCAATACTGTTGGCCCGACCGCACCTGCCCGGGGTGTGTGATCTCATGATAGCCATACTTCCTGATGTTTTCCAGAACCTTCAGCAACACGCACTGCAACATACATTGCAACAAACACTGCAACATGCATTGCAACACGCATTGCAACATGGACCACCATGCCCTACACAAGCCGATTCATTCCACACAAGTTGATCCAGCACCAGACACACCACAAACAAGAGTTCCGAAGGAAAGCTGTCAAAACATTTGCAAACTAAGACTGTCGAGCCCTGTAGAGTCCTGTAGAGTGAAGCAGGTGCACTTAGGCTTGGAGTGACGAGCGACTGAAAGACTCTGAGCAGAGATTGTTCTGGGGCTGCTAGGAGCAGAATACCGATGATAGAGAGATTCTCGACTGCGACGAATCTTGGGCTGTCAACTGGAATATCACATGGAACAAACTATAACTAGATGAAATAATCGAAGGAAGTTTAGGAGTCAAACTTCCGACGATATGGACAGATGGAAAAGCAGAGGTGGGAAGAGTCAGAGAAGAGAAGAGAAGAGAAGAGAACAGAAGAGAAGAGAAGAGAAGAGGAAGAGAAGAGAAGGGAAGGAAGAAGATCAGAGAAGAAAGAAGATCAGAGAAGAGAAAGCGTCAGAGGAAAGAAGATGCAGGTGCGCGAAAAGGTAGAAAAGTCGCGAAACATTGTATTTTTCCAATGATTTGTGGTTCCGCAAGGTCGAAAAGTAGGCTTGCTAAAGCGGCGGGTGCGGAGCCACCTTGCCAGATGAGAGATTAAAAATTGCACGCCGGTGAGGTGCGAAGCACTTTTGGATGTGAAAAAACTAAAATCACCTCACGTCCGGAGCACTTTTGGAAGTTGAGATGTTGAAAAAGCCCACGCCGTTGTGGCGCAAAGCACATTTCGAAGTCAAAATGTACAAAGCACGCCACGTTCAGAAACCTTTGGGAAGTTGAGATGTGCAAAAAGTGCACGTCGTTGCGGCGCGAAGCACATGTCGAAGTCAAAATGTACAAAACACCACATGTTCGCGCCACTTTTGGATGTTGAAGCGTCGTTTGTGTGGTAGACGCAAGGGATTCTTCACCCTGCCAAAGTGAAGGTTTTGTAGCATTTCCAAGAAAAAATTGGCAGGCGTGGGACATGTGAAGAGGATCTGCAAAGATGGATTTTGCGTGGCAGGCGCAATACAAGAGACATTTTCATCAGAGATGTTAGGAGGTCAGGCCGCTGATTTCCTGGGAAAAGTTGCGTTTTGGAGCATCAGATCTTCAGGTTTGCTGAGATGGTTTTGCGATGTTTTGCGTGACAGGTGCAGCACGTCGTATGACCTGGCATCACTTTTTCGTGGCAGGCGCAGTACTTTAGACAGGTGGAGTGGAAATATCGCAAAAAAACACATTGGCAGGAGGCCGCCAGCTCTGCACTCAACTTTCCATTTTTGAAGGAAGTCTCGCAGAATAGCTTCGTTTTTGACGTTGTCCAGTTCAAAAATTGAGGAAGTCTCGCAGAATTGCTTCGTTTTTGACGTTGTCCAGTTCAAAAATTGAGGAAGTCTCGCAGAATTGCTTCCTTTTTGATCTTGTCAGCTTGAAAAATTGAGGAAGCCTCGCAGGCTAGCTTCGTTTTCAAGCTTGCAGATAGCTAGATAGATAGATAGATAGACAGACAGACAGACAGAAAGACAGCTCCAACTACCACACCACCACCACCACCACCACGACGACGACGACGACGACTACTACTACTACTACCACCACCACCACAACAACAAATACATATACAAATACAACGTACAACATACAACACTACAACACTACATTACACTACATTACACTACATTACACTACATTACACTACATTACACTACATTACACTACATTACACTACATTACACTACATTACACTACACTAATTACACTACACTACGCTAATAACATCTCATTACGCCATACTACACTACACTAATTGCACTGATTGCACTGATTACACCACAACAACGACAACAACAACAACATCATCAACAACAACAACAACAAGTACTACTACTACTCCTACTAGCAACTACAACTACAACTACAACTACAACTACTACTACTACTACTACTACTACTACTTCTACTTCTACTTCTACTTCTACTACTACCATTGCTACTACCATTACTACTACTACTACTACTACTACTACTACTACTACTACTACTACTACCTCTACTACTACTACTACTACGACGACGACGACGACGACGACGACGACGACGTGGACGACGACGACGACGACGATACTACTAAGACTACTACTACGACTACTACTACTACTACTACTACTACTACTACTACTACTACTACTACTTCCACCACAGCTACAACTACAATTACAACTACACAACTATACACTACGCTAATTACACGGCAGTGCATTACAACCACAACTCCAAATACAACTACAACTACATTACATTACACAACACTACACTACACTATATAATTATTTTGCCTTACGCTACAACTGCAACTGCAACTACAACCACAACTACCACTACATACACCACATTACACTGGACTACACTACGCTACACTACACTAATTACACTTCACTACAACTACAACTCCATTACACTACAACTACAACTGCACTACACCATACTACATCCAGCAGTTGTGCTGAGGTGACCACTGCAACCACTGCAACCACTCCAAAAAACACAACTCCAACCACCTGTCGGTCCATCAGTGGCTTCGCTCTGCCATCCGTGATTCACAACAACCAACCTCTCCTACAGGTTTCCTATTTTTGAAACTTCCGCCACGGCCTTGTGCGGTACTACTGGTAACACACTAAATTGATTGGAAAAGGAGGTAAGAGGATGTGACAGAAGACGTGTAGTCAGTGATGGACCGGTGAAGTGGGCAACCGGATGAAAGACTGGTCTTATATACAGTAAATGAAGCGTTGCGCAAGTCTGCACAACATTGTCACGACATAATACAAGATAATACAAGTACCACATATGATTCGAATCAGCCGGCCGTGTGCCATCATGCAGAATCATTGATACACACGCCAGGTGTGCTTTCCTGGGAAGCCCCACGTCCTTCGCCTTACGCACATCATCCGCCTTCCCTGCCAAGGTTACTTTGTACTTCTTGTTTTGCTGGGTGGCGTTCTTCGGAACCTCAGCGTGACTTGCCCGTCCTTGCCTGCCTGAGGCCCATGTGAATGCACCATGTGAATGCAATCTCTCATGCATCGGCAGTGTCACTGCTCAGTGGCCTCCGGGATGGTCACTTCGACGTGCAGCTCACTTTTGAAGGCCTACCATGTTGGTGATAAGACTCAAGGCTGGCTCACTTGCAGAAACTCCTTTGGGAATGGCAGGTCATTGCTAAGCCGGTCTACACATTCGGCCTTGATTGTAACGCCTTGCTTGCCAATGATATCTGGGAAGCTGGAGGGGTGCATCATCACGCCCTCCTCCTTGAAGTCCTCTGCCAAAGGTCGCTCTGACAGAATTGCACATATTCAGCGTGGAGCAAAGTTCGGGTGCAGCTGCAACACCAACAGAACTTTCCGAAATGAGAACAGGCCAAGCAGCCAAGTTGTCTGCTGGGAAAGAACAGGTTTCAGAAACCAAGGCAAAACGGAGGAAACATGAAACTGCAAAATGGACCAATGATACCGAATCATACCGAAGGATGACAAATGATGCCTGATGTTTCCATTGATAAAACAGTGTATAAAACAGTTGAGAATCCACGGCATGGATGGAATGGAAACAAGCTCGCAGCTAGTCCTCGAAAGCCATAGCACAGTAACCCTTCTCTACCAGCTCCTGTGTCACAGGCATGACTACCATAAAATTCCATGGAATACATTGGAATACCATGAAAAATGCAAACGTGCATGCGCAAATATGAACTTAATCCTCATCGCCACGGCAAATGTCGCTAAGCGCGTTTATGTAGTGAATCTGGTGAATATATGTGTCATATGTTTCATGCAAAAATATGCTGGAAAAGTCAGTGGATGACATGAACCTGGATGCAAAACGCACAAGGCTCAAACAATCATTGGATCATCCAATGTGTCCCATGTGTCCCGTGTGTCCTTGATCGCCATGTGAGCCATTTCCACTGCCTGCGTACGTGTTTTGTGAAAGTTATATACGTGAAAAACCTCAAGAAGGGAGTTATTTTTTTGATATGAAACATCTTGAAACGGTTTTGCTATTTGGAAGTCCGGAAAATGTGCCACTTGTGGACTCTACCACCATCTGACGCATGCCTCCTGAGGGCCCACAATTGTAAAAATCTCACCGTTGGTGTCGATGTTCTTCACTCCCGTCTTCTCCTCAGACGGCACCAAGCAAAATCGAACTAAGTGGGAGAGCAACATCTGGAACTGTGCAAGCGTATGAACATCTGTGTCTGTGTATAGTCTAAAAAAAAGTTTATGTACTGTCTTTACACTGTGTGTGTGTACATGTTTTTTTTTAATCAACATATCTCAGTTAACACAGAATTGCTGGCCAATGTCATGTTGCGGGTCTAATGCTTGAGTGTACGACCTTCCATGTAAATAGTAGTATGTGTAACTAACACAGTCGATATTTTGCCTTGGGACATGGTATCTGTTGTAGAAGAGAACATGTGTATCGTGTATGTTTCCGTGTATGTGTATGTGTGTGTGTCTATGTTTGCATATGTATGTACGCACCTATATGTATGTATACATGTAAATGAATTATGTGTATGTGTATATATCTACGCCCAATTCTACCATGCTCTTCCTGCCTTTCTATTGTGGTGGCTGTATCATGAACTGTGCCCAAATTGATGGGACTTCGAAAGATCTCTGCCGCCAGTCCTGGATGAGCTTGATCTTGGAGCCTTTTGGTCCGATGACGATTCCAATCCTTGGATCAAGTCCAGTGCTCGGAAGAAAGTTGGGTAAAAGCAAAGAGAATGCAACGCTGTAACGCTGCAACGCATCTGAGCACTTTGACCAACGAATTACACGATTGTCAAATAAGCTCAGATATACACAGTGTATACAAGAGAGACTGGGAAAGGTCCAGCCCTTTGGGTTGTCGTCCAAGGTGCTTGTTCTCGGGCACCTTGATAGTGGCAGTGTGGAAGCTGCTCTTTTCGGCCTGTCGAACCATGGCCGCTGCTGCGACCAGTGTCGCTTCGCTACTTGGCACGAGATTCAGACAGAGTCACAACGAGTTATATACACGTGTCACACCAGTTTTTTTTCCGTGCTCCGAAAGAACGTCTCTCTACTCCCTCGCCGGTTCCAAGCCTGTTCTGCCTCAACGCCCTGTCTGGCTTCAGCGCCCTTCGCAGCCACCTTGGCCATAAATGCGGCGATATCCTCCTTGGACGCCGCCTGAAATCACTTCTCAATAAATACGAGGAAGGTATCGCAAATCATTGCACCCAGAAAGGAAAAAACGCATCCTGCAAAACGGTCAAAATGCACTAGACTGCCTTTGGTGGAGCCATGCCCGGCACAGTGTTGGTGGGAACCTGCAAAGTTTTGCAGTGCAGGTCTTCATTGAACGGCTTTGGTCCACCTGAATCCTTTCAAACTTGTCACGACTCCAGAATTTACATTCTACAAATGTCAGTGTCATTTCACGCATCTTGTTCAAAGATGTCAAAAGATGTTCTTTGTGTCTTTGAGTTGGGCACCATGCCAGGGATCAATTTTTGCTCCTTTCCACGCTGGGCCTGGAGATAAGGCGGCAGTCGGATGTCAAAAGGAGGGGATGAAGTAGACACAGCGCTGACTGTGAGCTGACCATGCAACTCACTGTGCAACTGACATCAAAACTGACATAAACTGACCATGAAGTAAGTGCAACAGCTTGACATCGTAAGCGCTGGAAGTCCTGCTCCTCCTTCATCTGCTCCTGCTTCTCCTTTCGCTTCTGCGCTTGCTTGGAAAGGCCCGTGGATTGCTCCCATTCGCCACCGGTTCCATCATCCTCGATGTTGCGTAAATCTTCGCACTTTGAGCCACAACACGCAGTCTCCGTTAGTTTTTGTACCGTTGGCATTGTGTTTTTTGGGGGGGGGCATATCATCAGTAGGTCTCGTGATGCCGAGGCATGGACGACTTCAAAGGGCTGCACCACCTGAACACGCTCAGGTCGATCCTCCTTCTCCTTGCGGCATCGACGTCAAACCAAGCAACAAAATTGACAAAACACATGGACAATAATGGACAAAAAAGTGATGGACTAATGGGTCTTGTAGGAACACACAAATCATGTGAGAGATATGGACAGATCATGAGGATCATGAAAGTAAGCCAGCTATGTATAGCCCATGCAAAGTCCTCCTTCTTGGCGGCTCCGGCCTTTGATTTTGCAGCAGCCTTTGAAGGGCAGAGCAATGACTTTGGGTGGCTTATCTTGACCTCTCTCCACAGCCAATCCCGGCCTTGGGTGCAGATGGCTTCGGCTCTGCCTTTGCCTTTCTCTTCAATCAAAATCGGCATGAAGAAAATTCAGACAACAAGTGTGACAACAAAGCAAAAAAAAAACACGAGAGAAAACAAATAACGACACGTCTCTACACCAGCCACTCAACCACTCAGGCAGCATCAGCATGAGACTTTGGCACCAAGGCCAAAACCGTACAAAACATCTAGCAGAATCTAGCAAATGGACTTGGCATTATCTGAGCACTTCGGAACAATGTCACTTCGAGGGCCTTGGCCTTCGGTGGCGCAGGTGGCTCCGGAGCAGGAGGTGGTGGCTCCTAAGGCATCAAAGTGGACTCTTCACGGAGTCATCTGACATCAGGTCTGAAAGACATCAGTGATATAAGTGACATATATCATATGACACAAGCGACACATACAGTAACACAATGTAACACATATATCGACATGCTATGTCATACTGACATGCTCAAAATGGTCACTGCAAGTTGTTGCCAAGTGACCACTTTCGCTGCTGCCTTCGCCTTCGCCTTCGGATCAGCCTTCGCCTGGCGCTGAGTTCTACAGCTTTGATCAGCTTTGGTTCGCTTTGCTTCCACTGTGCCTTCCTTACCTTCAATTTATCTGCAATCTTTGGATGCCCTTGCTTACTCGGCTTACTCCTTGCTTACTTCTTCCTTGCTCCTTGCTTCCTCCTTTCTCCTTGTTCACCTTGGTCCCTCAAAAAGACTTCAAATGTTGGTAAAGTACTGGCACAGGGAGCTTTTCAATTTCAGCTCAGACCACCTTGGGTCTATGAGACATGTTTCTCTCAGATTCTTGTGCGAATTGTGTTTTAGTACCCCAAAAAACTGACATCCTGCGGAGTTTGAATTTGCCTTTGCCGCCTCCTTCGGCTTGGGAGCCTGCCAGCTTTGTCTTCCATTTGGAAGCACTATCTGCCCTATCGGCCCTATCGCCCTATCTGCATTGTCGCGCACGAAAAAAACGTCAACATGTTCTCCTAGCAGGTCCGCTGCACGAGCCACATCGAGACATCCAAACACCACACTTGCGCCGCTATGCTTCACTCTGTCGCCTCCGGAGCTGCCTTTCCCTTGGCCTTGGGCTGGGCCTTGGGTTCCGGCTTCTTCGGCTCCTCCTGATCGATCAAATTGGATCTAAGAACAAAACGGGCTCAAGTGATGCAAAGTGCTGCAAGCTGTTCAAGTTACTTCAAGTTGTTCAAGTCCCAACAGGTTGAACACAACACCCGAAGACTTCTGAAGAGGCCCTCCTTCGGACTTGCCTTCGGCTTGGCAGCAGCCTCGACCGCATAGTTTGTCTTCTGACAATTCAATAGCCAAGACTGAATATTCGATGTCATATAAGTCTTGTTATGTCCAAATACATAGTACCAGCTCTCGGACTACATATCTTCCCCAAAAGCATACCCCTTCTGCTTCAAGGCTTTACGGACAATTCGACAGTGCCTTGGCTGCCTCCTTTGGCTTGGCCTGTGGTGCTTAGTGCTTTGCATTTTTTCAGACACTTTAAAACATTCACAGAAAATGACAAAATATGACAAAACCATTGCAGTACACTGACGGAACCCTGCACTTCTACAATCCTGGAGGTTTTACAGCGCACTTTGTAAATATATATATATATAAACACATTACAAACATAGTGAACATTTTTTTGAACACCTCATTTTGGGAAATTGAAATCTGCCTTGGGCTCAGCTGCTGCGGCTTTGGGAGCCGCTTTCGCCTTTGGCACCCCCGTTGCGCAGAAAAGAATTCAGTGTAAACATCGCTGACATGGTTGACGCCATAATGTTTCGGGAATTATTGGTATGTATGTGTATATATATATATATATTACATCTGTAATTATATTATCATTACTATTACTACTATTACTATATTAGATGTATATTTATGTAGATTTGATACCTATGATTACACATATCAGGTTTGTATTCACGGCTTCTATTTGATGTTTCTTCCACGCGTTTTCCTGCATCACGGCCACAAGCATGGCACCACAGGCAGCCTTGGGCTTCTCCGGCGTTGTCTCCGGCGGGGATGCTGCCGCTTCTGCGTCAAAGGATTGCACTTTGAAGGCTTGAAAATGCTGGGAAACATTTCAAAGTTTAAAATATCTTCAAATCTGAAGGTCCAAACCCTAAGCTTCTCTCTGACATGACTTGCCACTGGCCATTCTGGCCGAATTCCGAGCTGTCCAAATTGCATTTCACACACGAGGGTATGCCAAATACTTCCTGAATAGAGCTTGGAGCCACAAGTATGATGGACAAACAGATCAAAGTGCCTGCAGCGTGCTCTGCGTCCCTTGCCTGAACACAACGACCAGTTGGAACTCCAAAAACTGAACTCGGCCAAACATAGGACACTATCCAATCTATCTACTGTATATAATCTGTCTATCACAACCCATCAAGGACTCTGAAGGATATATACATATATATAAAAACATTGTCTTCCTCCCAGACTGTCTGGCAAACACTGAATTCACGGTGGAAATGACCTTCTTGTTAGCTCGGCGCTTGGCACTCTTGGACCTTTCAGTTGTGCATGTGGAGGAATGCTTTGTTTTGCTTCGAAGGACGGTTGTTCTTATCACTACAGCAGTCACATTTGAATGTTATTTACGGTGACTCATGACGGTTTATTCAGTTTACCGGTTTTGCCCCTAAAAGATGCACAGCACTTGGAACGTACTTCCCTCTGAGCATTTCAAGCCTTGCAACGTCTAAGTCTCCCGACAGCTCAGCCTGCAAGTCCAAAGCGAGAGGAAAATTGAAAGCATCTTGAAATATCTTGAATCTAAAAATATCTAAAACACAATCCAACCAAAGCCACACAATCCTCACATTAAAAAGCGGTTGCGACATGACAGGCTCACCTCGGTCATTGCTGGCAGTGGATGCAGTGGGGCACAGGTGTCAACAGGTTCGGCACAAACTTGAGCCAAGACAGAGAAGATTCAGTGCTGTTCAAGGCATTCAACGCCAAACTAAAAGCATGGAACAAAGTAAGTCTTCAAAAAGTTCTCATCTCGTTCTCTACTGAGGATATCCCAGAAGTGAAGCAAAAGATGGCGGCATCAATATGTTCATCCTCCTGGAAAAGGAACTTGGTCTTTGCTCCACCCCAGACCTCATGAAGACTTTCCACACAGCATATAAGTTCAAAGAATTTCAAGATATTGAAAAAAAAAACGCAGAATCAAAGTGGCTGAGAAATCAGGGCCTTGTCGCTAAGCAGGGTGAATCCTTTGTTCATGGAAGAGGAATCTCCAGACACCAGTCGCACCTACGTTGCAGATTCGATCTGAGTGGTAGAAGGGATGTCGCAAATTTGAAGTGCAAAACAAGTCGCTCTTGCCATGGAGAACGCCCGGAAAGCGCCAAGGCGCCAAGTCTCGTTATGCTGAGGCTTTAGAATGCTTTAGATGCAAAATAGTGCCACAGATTGTGCCTCTGTGGTGATCTTGCCCGCAGTACCCATAAAAATGAGCTTCATCGGCCGTTCCTTGGAAGCCACTTGAAAGGACTGCCAGACTGCTGGACTGCCCAAAGGCTGCAGAATCTGCAAGGACAATTTGCAAAATGCAAAAAACAAAACGCATAGTTTCACTGTGTTCGCTCTTCGAAGTTGGCTTCGAGAGATTGCCTTCTTGGGCCCGCACCTCAACTTTCAAGTTCTGGAAGTTCGGGTCCTGTGAAGATTAACCCAACCAATGCTTTCAATTTACATGTCCCGCTGGTCGGTCAATAAAGATTCAGGTTCCCGAAGATGTTGATGTTATAGTACAATGTAGCGAAATGCAAGACAGCATACACAACAATAGAAAACAACTAAAACAGCTAAAACTAAGAAAACGATCTCAGCTTCGTCTCCTGGCGCCCATTCACAGAGACCAAGCGATCACCGGCTCGCACACCAGCCTGCAGCACCAGCCATATTTTCAATTCAAAAAAACAGCAGGCCGTTAAGCAACGTTAAACAACGACCAACAAAGCGGGCCATCCACTCTTGGTTTATTATGTTTGTTGGTCTTGTACGGTTTTGTGCAATTTTTTCAGGCAAGCTGGGTCAACCGGTGGAATCTGTGCGGATCTCCCCTCAGCACAAAAAATGTTTCCTCCTGCTGCACTGAGGTTTCCCAATCCGAGTCGCCCGATCACAAGGTCCACCAGGAACAACCTTCAGCACCACAGCACCAGATCTCCGAATGCCTGACACAACAAGTTCTGTGCCGTTTCCCACTTTGCTCAAGACTTGTCTTATCCCTCTTCTATTTATGTTCACGAATCTTCACCAACACCTTCACAAACCTGCTCATCTTAGCTCATCTTGCCAACTCCTTGTCGAATCGTCGAGTCGTTGTTCGGCAGGCCTGGCCGAAGCTGGAAATCTGCCAGCAAGCGCTCACCTCGAGGCGATTCAAACTAGGTTCAATCAGTTCAATGGTCAAAAACATGGCCAAAACCAAACCGTCTAAAAGAAGTGTAGAATATACACAATCTACACATATACTATATATTCATATTTGTCTACACAATATGTTTATATGTTTATTATTACCTTGATTTGATATTACATTGATTGCATGATGTTATTTGTGTCTAAAACAGCTACAGAGTATGTATGTGTCAATGGCAATCAAATGGACACCCAATTGTCTACACATGGATGTGACAGGGAATTCGGGCCATGCCACTAGGGCCGGTGCTGCTGTCGTAAAGCACCAATTTGGCAACCAAGCCTGTCTAATTTCCAGGTCAAGTCTAGTCTTTGGGTTCAAGCAGTGTGTCCACCAATGTGCCCAACACGGCCCAAAATAGAGCCAACATGGGCTCAACGTACTCCCAACATGCACTCTACAAAGGCCCAAAATAGAAAATATGGTTTAATTTATTGGAACTCAATAGCTAACATTCCGGTGCGGGCGGTTGTCGTCCCCAAGCGATGAGAATATGTTTGTCTTTAAGACTTCAAGACTCGTTCAGACTGTACGAAGTAGTTCAACGCAGAAGAGATGCAGGAAATGCACAACTCTTCAGTTTCGGTCCTGTCTTCTGCCTATGAAGCTCCCAATCCTCTTCCTTGTACCAACACAGGTTCAGTCTCGTGCCAAGTCTTTCAAAATTCCAAGGCATATGGTGAAATATATGAAATATTGAAATCATCAGATAAAGCTTGAGAATCCATGGGTGTTTTTTTCATTTGCAACGTATTTGTCAGAAAGTTTGAACTGTCCGGCTGTGCCTGCAAACGCAAGACCACCAAGTATGTGTCACGGCAAACATGTTTGGAATCTACTTTGTCAGTCGGCTGGCACAGGCCTCTGCATCAGAGCCAGATGTCTCTTTTCCGCAACATCTTGAACACTGGTCTCCTGAGAAAAAACCGGCCATATTGCAGCCACATAGGTTTCTTTCGAGTCAAAGCTGGCTTTGGCAGCTTGGATTTGATCCTCGGGACTTTTGCCTGGCCTCATTCCAAAAAGCGGGCAGACGAACAAGAAATTCACAAAATGGTTCCCTCCTTATCCACCTTATCCACTTCAGCATTCAAGGCTCACTGAGGCAGGAGCATGGACACCGTGCGCAGTGAGCAACCTCAGGTACCCAACTGACAGTTTTTGAAAGATCTCCTTTAGACTCCGGGCTCAATGATGCAATCGTGAATGTTGTCTATCAAGTTTCTCAGCCCCTGCGGCAAAGCCACAGAAGATCCAGGCGCAAATGCGGCAAAAAGCTGTGGTCATCTCTTGCCAGGAGAACTCTTGGACTCTTGGAATAAATTAGAATAAAATTCATACAGCTCTAAGACTTTGGCCAGCCGTCGAGCGCATCCTGCGTACACCCACTCCACTGGTCATCCAAAAGTTGGTTGAACAGTCAGTCCAATTGTCAGGAATTCTCAGCTTCTCTCTCTCTCTCTCCAGTTTTCCTGGGCTGGGTTTCTGCTGGTTTCTGATTCTGTCGTTTTGTCTCAGCTTGCCATTGTGGCGCTCGAAACATCTCGTCCTTCTCCGGCGAGGCCTGGCAGAACAAATTTGTCATCTGTCATCTGTGCACATGTTTTATGTCTGGTCTTGCCTCGATTTCCTTAGACTAAGACTTAGAGTTTCAAAATCCCTTTGCGCAAGCCAACCACGCTCTAAACCAGTCAGGATGGCAGCCATGCTTTTGGCAGCTACAGCTCCAAGTGTATAGGCTCGAGATCGCTCACCGGGCAAAGAGGACAAAATGGATTGCTTCCATCGGCTCACCTGCGATGGTCGAACATGGTGCAGCTGTATGTAGGTTGTGTGGATGGTATAAATTTCGAAACTATTCGAAAATGTTTCAAGGAAGAAGATGGCAGTATTAAAGCAGTGCCAAAGATCCCTTGAGGCTCCAAAGTCTTGGTGAATTTGGTGAGAAATTTGGGGTAAACTGGGTAAACTGGGTAAACTCAACATCAACAATTCATATCAATTCATCAACTCTTTGAAAATTGGGGGTTGTTGGAAGGTGCCTTGTCCTTGGGACTGCAAGGACTGCAATCTGACCCCGAGGGCGACAAATCTTGTACTATCGGGAACGGCATCCATCCCGCGAGCTCACCCCATCGGTTGCAACTATGCACTGGCTCAATGACCATCTGTTGAAATTGAAGAACTCAAAAGTTGGGCAAGTGCATTAAACCAGGAAAATGTGAGGCTTGTAGGTGGAGAGAAACCCATGTCTGCTTGTGTTTGGTCTGTCTATTTGCTTCTGACTTTACACCACAATTGCTTGCACTCAAACCTTGCAAGGGCAACAATTCGTGATGACATAGAGGCTCGGGATGGAATCACAAGCACACTGGAGGTCTGCACTGATGCAAATTGCATCCATCACATCCATCATTTTTGCAAAGCCACAGCCTCTGACAGCTGCGGCAGAGAACATCTCTAGTGTCCGCAAACAGCATGGACAAGAGAACTTCGCACAGGTTGTCTGTCCTTTGCAATTTCCAAAAGCAGCCTGCTGAATGGGCGAAGAAAAGCCCATCAACCACAGCATCTCTTGGCGCTCTACACCAGCTCTTGTTCTTAGCCATAACATGCATTGCTATGCATTGCTATGCATTGCTATGCATTGCTATGCATTGCTATGCATTGCTATGCTATAGGCACGACTCGTGAAAATTTTTCGACATTTTTCGACTGCACAGCTCTCGAGCTCCTCGGAGCGAATTTTACTCCGGTTCTATTTACAATGCTCGAGCACTTCAGCTCTGTTCCCGGCTCACCTGTTTGAAGGTAAGAACACACGTCGATTGTATGATATTGTATGTATAATATGTATGTATTATATGTATAATATATATATATATGTGTGTGTGTGTTTACATTGTCTGTATGTATTTGTCCTGTCTTTTTCGTCGTGTTGATATGCATGGTATAGTATTGTACGGTAAGGTAAGGTACGGTAAAGTACCGTAAAGTACGGTAAAGTACGGCAAGTTGCGGTACAGTATGGTAACGTAATACATATACATATGTTGCAATGCAATGTCATGTATGGAAATGCACTGGAATGTTACGTTACGTTACCTTACTTTACGTTACGTTACGTATGCATGTACGTATGAAAATACATGGACAAACACATACAGATAAGCTCATTTCCTGAGAAACTTGTCTGCATTGGCATGAATGCTTGGTATCATTCCCATGAACTACTCATCCCTCGCTCAATTTTTAGATTTGCTTTTGCTTCTGTCAACTTCGATAAGATCCACTTGTAGTCGTCCTCTGAGTCATAGCAAAACAAACTAACTGTCAATGTTCCGCTGAAAGTCAACGCTCACATCGGCCACCAAACCTGGTCAAGCAGCCACTTCAATGAAAAAAACATTTGCAATACTGTATATCTATATAGTATTTGAATGCGTTTGGTTGCATGATCGTCTGAATGAATGCAGATGGCATCACAAATTGCAAAGCTTTTACAAGTGCTTTAATCTTGAAAAGACTAAAAGTGACTCTGTTTCATGAAATTCTCCATGGCATCCCAGGAATCCCTGCAGCAGCCCATCTATGCCGCAGGTCCCAGCTGGCTGCTTTCGCGCGCTGCGTTTGCCCTCGGGTCTACTGTTCAGACAAGACGGACTGTTGCTAGCTGAGATTTGCAAAAGGTGGAAGAATCATGATGAATTTGGACCTTCCAACACCTTGAACCAAACCTGAATCATCAGGTCTTGAGAAGCACCGACGCAGAAACGAGGAGCCCACTGCTGAAAGTTCAAATGGAGGCCTGCAGCCAGTCAGGCAGCTCATACACTGACACTGCAAGCCAGTATCCACAGCACAGATTTTTTAATCGACAGCTTCAATCCTGTCTGTGGGGGGGAAAATCGAGTCTGCCCCAACAGAATTTATTTCACAGAGAACCAATGAAGGACAAAAAACGCAAACATTCAGATACAAAGCACCACCATTCACCACCATGCCTCGCAGGAAGAGGTGCAAACACAGAGCTCATGGTTCCAAGCCGGTCTACCTGGCGTGACAATCATGGTACCAGAACATGAAGTTACAACCAGGAAGGGCTGATAGCAACATTCGCAACATATCTCAACGTTGCACTAGCCATCACTAGACGTTGTCACTACATCCAACATGTGGCTGCGTTGATTTCCAAGCACGGCAGCCTCATCCATCTGCGCCATGGCAGGCCTTGCAAGCCAGAAACAAAAATTACCAATAGTTGTTGCTGCGAAGCAAGGAGCATTTGCTCTGGGAACTTTGTTTCCTAAGTTTTGTTTCAGTGGGTACACAGGCCGGAAAGGCCGGAAAGGCCGGAAACAGTCAGATCTTTTGGATCCGAAGAGCTCTGCAAGATCTGCGTGTCAGGCTCAGGGCACGACATACCTGCAGCTTGTGCCTCCACCCGAACTCGCTCCACCAAACGCTTTGCCTCGCAAAAGAAACGTAAAGGGTCCATTACTAACAGCTTTAACCAAAAAATGATAGAAAATAAATCCATATAAATCCAGTTTATTCCATTAAACCTTTTTGAGTTGCATGAAGCTTGGCTTCTACTAGTGGAGTGAAAATGAGACGCCATCGCTGTATCCCAAGTCTGAGTGTGGACAGAGGGTATCACATGGAGTTTTCACCTGTTGGACACGTGTTGGCTTAGAGATCTTTGTTTTGCTTTGGGTTCCAGTCACCTGAAGAGCTAATCCATTTCAAGTCTAGGCGGCTTCCCCCAGCCATGCTTCATAGGTTCTGCGTTCACTGCCCCGGTGGAACCTCCTGGCCCCGCAGCTCATAGACTGCAGCAAGCCCAGCAGCCTCGATTTTTTAAGTACTTCAATGAGAATATCTTGACAACTTCTGACAACTTGACACTTTTCATTGCTCCACTTCGGCTTGAATCCAGCTTGGCCTTGGCAATATGCGCTGTTTCCCCTCATTATGTTGTTCTCTTCTTTGTGTTTGAAATAATTCCGTTTGTTTCCCCAGGCCTATTCATGGTTCCCATTTATTGTTCCAACTTTCATTCGGCTTAAGTTGTTTGTCATGTTAAGTCTACTTCTGTTCTTACTTCTTGTTTTTCTTCTTCTCCTCATCGTCATGCTGCGCCTCGGCATTCTCCGTTATCCTTGTTCTCCTTTTTCTCCCCCTTCTCCTTCTTCTCCTTCTTCTCCTTCTTCTTCTTCTCCTTCTTGCCCTTATCCTCCCTCCCCTCCTTCTTTTCAGATTCTCCATCGTGTTCTTCTTCTGCTGGTATCGGTATCGTCATTTTTGCCACGATTCATTGATGCTGATTCGGTTGTACTTGCGTTCCTAGTTATTCGTCATTCTTTGTTCTGTTGCTGTGGTTTCTACATGTGTTGCTTTCTTCTCCAAGTCATTCATCTGATTCGTCTTGGGATCAATGTCTTTTCACCAACGCATGCAATTTCTTGCTCCCAAGACGCAAGGAGTGAGATCGGACACTAAAGCCACCAAACTGATTTTGGATATTCTTGGGCTCGGTATTGTTTTGGTGCTGATGTTTTAGTCCTTTGGAATCTCGAATCACAAAACTGCAACTCTTCATTGCTAGATTTCTCACCGGCCTGCACTGCACGAGGGGTTATCAAGGTGGCCACTCCATCATCAGATGACGTGGTCTCTGCTGCCTTTGTCTGCGACGTGTGTGCGACATGTATGAAGAATGAATGGCAACAAAATACTATCTAACAGAATCTAACACGTATGTATCACATGCTCGCTGTTGAGAGGAGCAAAATTGGATTTTCTGAAGCTGATGCTGGAAGGAACCCCGAATCCTGAATCTCGCTGGAACCATTTGCTTCCACCATGTGCAGAAGTATCTACACTTGTTCGAGCGGCTTGACAAGACGGTCTGGATGCACGAGGAAAGCCTCGTACGTGGACACGAAACAGAACCACCAAAGACTACACTTGGACTTGGATACACAAAGTCACACTGACTTGCTGCAAAGTCTGTTACTTCTGTTATCATGTTCTATCCAATTTCGTCCAATTTGCCATGCCAAACCAACAAAGTTGCCAGGTTTGGTTTTCCGTTTCGCTGTTTTGGCACAGCCAGCCTGAAGCGGGAGGACTGCAGTCCTCACGGGGCATGCCACGTCCAAAACACATGAGATTCCTCAGCTCCCGTGTTTCTTACTGAGTCTTACTGTTCTCAGCAAGCCTATCACGTACTGAGTACTGATTGTTGCTGTGCAGCCTGCACAGCTGCGTCTGAAAAATCTTTTATGCAAACACCAGGCTCTACGTTACATCGCAATCAGGACCCCCTACACCAAACCACTGAAGCTTTGGCTACGAGGGTTTCAACAATACCTCCTTCCCGGACACTAGATCAGAACTTCTTGTCGACGTTCTGGTCTTCTAGTCAGAGATGTTTGCTTCTCCGGATTTGGACATCTGACGACAACTTGCACCAAGAAAGCCCAAATAGCCGCCATCCCACAGCATCCTCAAACATTCCCACATGCCCCACATGCCCCACATGCCCCACATGCCCCACATGCCCCACATGCATCGGTCCAGCATCATTGAAGCAAGTTCTCCCCGCGTGAACTCTGATGTCTCATCCTCCGCTATGCTGTCAGCAAGCATAAAGTGTTTAGAGAGAAGAAATCAGATCTGGAGCTATGCAGCCTATGCGAAACAAAGCTTTGATGGTCCAAGAGATTCTCAAAGCACATCCTCAAACTCTTCATCGGCAACATCGCCCAGATCACCAGGGATTGCATCCATCATGTGCCTTGGCAGTGATAGAAGCAAACCGCAAACTTATAACAGATATGTGGATTATATGTATACGTTTGTGTATATATATATATACATATGTATATATATACATATATATATATATACATATATATATATATACATATATATATATATACATATATATATACATATATATACATATATGTGTACATATATACATACATATGCAAGCATTTCAAGCAACTCTTTCAAACAGCTTCTGGATGTCAGTTTCTGGCGCATGCACAGGTGGTTGCACCGCCAGCAGCAAAGGAGCAGCTGAAGGCTGAAAGACAACTTCTTCAATCACCTGCTGAATTCTTCATCAAGCCGCTCTCGCCAAATTTGCCATGCAAATCAACTGATCTTTGCATTGTCCCACTTCCAAATCAATCGTTGTCGCCAGAACACAAGCAACAAGCTGGCCTGCAAAGGAGCATCTGGCCTTCCCATGGCAATTGGCACCTGAAATCAAGAAGAACAATAATCTGTGTCCAATATCAAAAGAATGCAGAAAGAACAGCTGCAAGAGAAAGCGCCGTATTCAAAGCATTGCAGTATTGACATCGACATAGAACAGCAGCACAAAGATGCACAGAGTGCAAAGATGTCGCTCCTTGGAGTCCAATCCACAAAAGCAACTGTCCTACGTCACAGATTTCATAAGATTTCATAAGAAGCAAAACCATGTTTTCGATTTTTGTCAAAGTTCTTTAAAGCCAAAAGCGCACAAAGACTGTCGCAGTTGTCCTGGTTGCTGAGTCTGAGTTCTGCGTGCCACTTGCCAATGAAGCCAAGGAAAACCAAAGTGACAGGACCATAGATCCTCAACATGCAGCTTGACAACCCCACCCAGCGCAAGCATGGAAGCCTTGAACCCAAGGTTCGGAAACTGGAAACAGAAAGATTATGAAAGATGCAACTGCTGAAGCACACACCTTCTGAGAACTTCTTCTGCTCGAAGTCCTGCAAAGTCCTGAAGTCTCGCAATGCAACTTGTGCATCAAGTGATCAGAGGATCAAACAATCCTGCAAGGCACAGCAATGCCACGCCAGCCTTTCTGCCATTGATGGAAACCAGTATGTCACCCGTCTTCACTCCAGCCTAGTACAGTTTCGGCCGGGCAGGCTGTCAAATTGATAGGGAAAACACCAGAGCAGTTGCTGCTTTGAATATTGCCAAAGGCATTGCCTCCTGAGCACCAGCAAGCTCTTCCCAACAGCGAACTCAAAAAGACTGCATGACTCATTCATGAGGCATTCACGAGCCATGAGTAATTTGTGTCATGTACCATGAGCAGCCAAGCCCTTGCACAGCCCGACCTGCTCGGCTCTGCTGCTGCGGCGAACAAAGCTTACGACAACTCGCTTGCCAGCACCACCTGCCAAGCTGCCGAAATCAGTTCCCCAAATACAACGGAATAAAACTAGGTAACAGAACAGCTATGTCAGGTCGATCAAAGTAGACGTTTTGAGGAGGGTTTCTTGTGATGATTTGTTATGTTTGAAGAGGTGGTGTAGCCGAAAGAAATTCGTAAGGAGGACCCGCGCCAGACGATGTTGTCGTTTTCAGTGTGGAGTTTGCTCTGATTCTCTGCCCTTGACTGCTTGCTGCGACTCTTTTGAAAGATAAAACACGGCATCTTTTCAAGTTGTTTGCGTGAGAAATTGCTAGTTTGTTCAAAATATAGAATAAAGCCAGACGTTCAGAAGCTCATCTGAGAACTTGCCTTGATTCTGTTGATAACAGCAGATTTGGTGGCTTGGCTAAGGATGTCATGCTTGATTTTGTGTTGTCTTCGTGCTGTCTTGGCATGTCTTGGCACCTCTGAGGTGCAAGTCATCCTGTGGTCGATCACCACTTTCATAAGCGACCTGGGATGACGGAATCAGAATTTGGGATCAAAACAAAATGTTGCTAGGACCACTAGGACCTGCTAGGACGGCTGTGATGCCCTCACTTTTGAGACACAGCTCAACAGAAGAATCAAGTGGAGATAGGCTGAGATATGAGAGAAACAAAGAGACATCATTGGTGACACCATTCGCGATATCATTTACGGACAAATAAAACAATAAGCACTTGTTGAATCTTGTAGAGATGGAGATGTCTTCGCTAAGTCGCTAGTCTGCCAGCTGCTCCAGTTCCTCGCAGACGTTGGTTCCACTCCTCATCAGGATCCACAACCTCCACAAGCGGCTGTGCACACTGGAGTCTGCACAACTTGAACTTGTTGGCAAGAAAACATAAGAAAATCAGGAAGAAACTGAACTCGTTTCGCTCAACAACATCTGAGTTTCACAAAATGAGCTGCCAAGTGCAACAGGCATCAGGGCCTCGTCCAGAGCTTCAAAGTTGCAGTAGTTGCTGTTCTTTCCTTGTCAAGCCATGTCAAGCCATGTCAAGCCATGTCAAGCCATATCAAGGCACTCAACAGTGAAGTATTCAAAACATTGATCCAGAGTCAACGGCTTGAGGTGATCAAAGACAAGGATGTCCAGTATGAGGCGTCTACGTTCCCTTGTGGGCAAAGGTGGTATAGCTTCTGCGTCTCCTGAAAATCACATCTTTGGAGGTGCCAGGACGAGAGACGCTTGCAATACGTGATGACAATGTTGGCAATGCAAAAGCAAAATAGATCTAATGACATTATCTATCAAAAAATGATAGGGTAAAGTAAATAGTCAAAAAGTAGATAATCGACTGAATTCTGACTTGGCTATGGGAGACAGATCCAGCCTCCCCCACTCCCTTGGTCAATGATATCGTCCTGCATGATTCTTGACGAGATAAAGCTGTGGCATGCCATGGTCGTCAAAGTACAACTGGTATCAAGTGGCCATACAACTGACGAATGTAACTGGTTCGTATCATTACTGTAACTGGTCATAACAAGCTCGGTCCTGACCCAGATCTGCCACTGTCATCCAAGCTATCACACTCTGCAGTGTGTCACCCGTCTCTGGAGTCTGTCAAGACAATTTCATGGAACACTCCAGAAGCACCCTCCAACCATCTTTGAACAAAGCAGACTTGGTTGGCATTTTCTACAATGCAAAATATACCAGGACAATGTCAAATTGCATACAAGAGTTACACTCAGTTACAAACTTGATCTACCATGCCAGCCTCAACGGCCTTGGCTGATTCTGTCGACCTGTTCTGCTCTGGCTTTGCTTCGACTATGCTCAAAACTCGACCGTACTTTTTCCAAGTGTATGCATCACTTATCATCACTTTGAACGAGGCAAAATCCGCTGGAACCTGAGGACACTTTCAATTCCATGAATTCCATGAATTTCATGAACAGACCTCGAAGGCTGTGCAGCGGATCCGTCCTGGCCAAAGATGGAGAAGCATAGCAGCACAGACATTCGGCATTCGGCTAAATCATGCTAAATCAATGATGGTGAAGGCATGGAAAGACATGCAATGACATGAAAGAATGACTGGAATGTAAAAGAACCCGTTGCTGGTTGATCCAACAGGATTTCGGGAGCTGATAGCACTGAAAAGGCCACAGCAGCATGAGCCCTTCCCCGCCACTCGGATCAAATTTGATGTAATGCAAATGCAAACAGGGCTTAAAACAAAGAGCTTTGGGCCGGTTCGCAACAAAGGCAAATGTCAAAAGAACACAACAAATGGTTGAATTCAAAACAACAATATAACTTATCAAAATGTATGTCTCACGTCAAATCAAACATGACTGTGCTACCTATGCCTCCTATGCAGTATTCAGACCATGCGCAACAGCCGTAACAGGCAGAGGCTCCTCATGCAGCAAGTCCTCAGCAGTTTCCCGGTGCCTCAGTTGACTCGACCTTGTCTAGACATGTCTAAAATCTGTCCAAAATCTGTTCAAATCGTTTTCAAATCGTTCAATCAATTGGGTCATGGCTGAACGATGGTCAACTTCCTGAAAAGCCCATGGGACTATGGGGATCACTCCGCTTTCAACAAAGAGATTCGGAGAATTGACTACTGACATTACTGACATTACTGACATTACTGACATTCAGTAAGAGCTCTTGCAAGTCTAAACTGCGGCTCCCTGGAACTTTGATAACTTTGGGTGGGCCACTTGCAGAATTTGACATGTGAATTCTTAATGGTGCTTATATATTCTTCTATTGTATAAGTGATCAGAATGAAAAACGAAAGGAAAGTTGGAGCTACTTCAAAGGTTTTCTCCTTACCTTGCGATGCACACTTCTGCACCAGTGAAGCTCAGCCAGGACACAACAGGCCTGCCATAGCCACATCGGATCTTTGTACATGATAAGATTGAATGACAAAATCCTACAGCTGTATTCTGCAGCCTGGACAATGCTCACTTGCTGGCAACAGGGAGTTTTGGTCTATACTCGTATCCATGACAAAATCTCAAGAAATGGAGATGGGTTATGATATGATGGGTTTGTCACTCTATATTTGCCTGTTGCAGCATGCTTTCCGAGTCAGCTTGCAACCGGAGCCAGAAAGCAATGAAGGCAGCAGAATAAGCAAAAACTAAAACTCGCCAAGAAGCATCCGTGGAAATGGACAGTGCGAAGGAATATAATATAATGTTCAATGTATTTTCTTGTGCTAGTGAAAGTCTCTCATGTTTCAGCCTGGCACAAAGGCTTTGGATCTAGGACTGAGGAGTGGGCCGAGGTCAATGCATAAAGTCAGCAACATGAGCCTGTAACGCTGGAGATCAAGCTGGAGATCAAGCTGGAGATCAAGCGAAACACTCAAATGGCCACACAGGTTGAATCCACTGTGGGGCTGCAAATGCGGAGTGTGTTCCTGGTCACTACAATTGGAGCGCAGATTCAACAAAACGATATGCAGCATTATATATATATATAGTTATATATATATACACATGTATATACACTGTACACTTACAAAATTATGCATAAATATAAATACACAAGAGAATTCCACTTGATTCCACTTGTGCCACTTGAGCATTCCTCAACAGGTCCCCCCTGCAAAGAGCGGCTTTTTCTGGCTGCTTTCGCATCCCAAGGAAATTTGCTCAGCCATTGACCTTGATAAAATCAAAGCAAGTTAAAACACAGAGTCACTGTGCCAATAGGTTGAAACTGTAAAAGCTAAAGGAAGGGAGAAAAAAAGCCACAATTCGTTTTGTGCCAGAAGCCACAGAGCTGACAGCGAGACAGCTGGCACCAGGAAGTGTTGGTTTAATGACGAATTTCCAGTGAAAATCAAAGGCACCGACGGTCACAAAGGACCTTCTGAGCCAAGGAAGGACTTTAGCTAAGCGTGTGCTTTTTCATTCTGGAAATGCCTCACATGTGGCAGTCCGGATTCCACATGACACTTTGGACTGACAAGCTGAAAGAGCCGCACAGAAAAGCCCCTGTCTACTTGAACCAGCACAATCCGAATTCACAAGCTACCGATTGAGTACGGAACAGTGGTTTGCATTGATGTATGGCTGTATGGCTTCATGAGGTTTGTTGGTAAGAGTCAGGATAAAGATTACGATATTCTACCAGGTTTCGGACAACACGGTTTACATCGCTTTACAGTCGCTCAAGTAGCCTCCTGAAGACGTAGCAGTACAAATCCCAGGATGATGCCTGCAGGCAGTCGCATTGAATCTGACTTCCAAACAGTGTGATGGTGCGATATGGTGCAAACATATGCCTTGCCTGGCTTTGACTGTTTTCGCAATCGCGCCCAAGATTTTGGAGGCTGGATTTGGTCTCATGCAAGTTCTAAGTCCAAAGCCCCAAATGATGGCGAAGCTGATGCTGAGCGAGTATGGGAGAATCTCCTGGCTTTTTAAGACGTTCGAATGTGCACAAATCGTGCTTTAGGAAATCCAAAGTGCCTTGGATGTGCTGAAACTGGTGGCACTCAGTCCACAAGTGGCAAACAGTGTTTCTATATATATATACTTATCATACAACTAGGTTCCAACTCCGAAAGCAATGTTCACTGGCCAGCACACACAAGATCAAATAGTGTCTGGATCAGCTGGAACCATGTCGTGGATGACATCCCAGAACACACCACCCGCATGAGCAGGCTGCGACACTAGAAAGCCGGCCTCAGTTTCACAAGCAAAATATCTGCAGCCAGCAAAAATTGCCACATGGGGTCAATTCTGTCCGCGGGTGCTTGCATCTTCCTTTGAAACACAATAGTTCTTCAGTACCAGTATGTGGTACAAATCCACCCATTGATTGTCCAAAACCTTCCACCATGCATGTAGTGTGATTGCAGTTGCAAGAAGCTACAAAGGGATTGCTGAGTTCCCTGCTGCAGCACCAGCAATTCCAGCATGATTTTGCTTCTGACACGGCACAGCATAGCATGCAATGATTTCTAGCAGCTGCCGGTCTTTAAGGAACTAGGGTTGTTGTAGAAAACTATCTGAAATACTAGTACTCTTCTGGCTTAAACTACCAGAAGCAAAAAACTGAGCATAAGTATCTCAGAGTTAAGTCCCTCTGAATCCGTTACCTGCCTAGCAAAAACTAACAGGTGATCCTCAACCTCTTGACAGAACATCTGCCATTACGTTCAGGACTGTATTTACACAGTAGAACAATTATGTCATTATGCTTCATATTATTATGTATACATACATTACGTTACCTTACGTTACATTGCATGGCATTGCAGGCATTGCAGTAACTTACATGACATGACATGACATTGCATTACGTTGCATTTGATTACGTTACGTTACCTTACATTACATTGCAACAATGTTCGCATACGTACATATACGCATACAATCAATATCATGTACATGATATGATATATTATATAGATAAATATAATACATATGTAGATCTATTTATATATATGTGTGTGTGAATATATGTATCATATATCATATATACATATTATGTTATCATATGTGCATGTTACTACAAGTCGTTGATTTTCTGCCCACCCACTTGGCACAAGAGCCGGCCTGATTCACAGGCGGAGCCACGAAGCAGCTGGAGGAGAACAGCTGAATCTGCGTTTTGCAGACAAAACAATCCATTAGTAGTTAAAAAGGTTTAAAATGATTAATGATTAAAGTGTTACATGTAGCAATATGGCGAGCTAAAGAGCGTGTACATATGTAGTCGTATGTATGCTCTGATGACTTTGTACTGCCAGTGATTCTTTCCATTTGATCCATGGGCTCCCTGAGGGGGTGACCGCAGACATTGCCAGGACGCCAAGAGCAAGGAGAGCTGGCAGCACCTCTACGACAGTCACGACAGTTGATCTGAGAACTGTCGTCCGAGGCCATACTGTGTACGCAGCTGTGTTCTGAAAATTTGCACCGAGGCCAGCACAGACCTGGGACGAGTCATGGCACTTCAGACGTGGTCCTGCAGGTACTCTGAAACTCTGAAATTCTGAAGCAAGCATTGATGGTGATTGATGGTCACTGGTGGTCATTGATGTCACATGTCCCGACTTGAAGAAAAAAATATAAAAACAAAGAAAAACATAGGGGCTTTGAAGATTTGCTGCAAATGCATGTAAAGCCGACTGTAGATTCAACCAGCGCACCTTGAAGAAGGACAGAGCAGGATGCGCAAGAGCTAAAGCTTCCAGAGAAAAACTGCAGAATACACCAGACAACTAAATATTACACGCACTGCAAGACAGCCATAAGTTGCAGTACATACATCAATTCAAGGAGTCGTTGGAGTAATCAGTAGGGAGAAGCAATCAAAAAGAAGAAAAGTGCAAGAATGGTGCCCATGCAGGAGTCTTGAATCCAAGTCAAAGCATAACAGGAAAACCTTGGTCCTCTATCCACTGTAAAACATGTGAAAGTGACCTGAGCGATTTGCCCCACTGCCCATAACTATCCGTCACCGCCCATCATTGCCCTGCAGCCCTGGCTTCAGGACTTATTTTTAAAGCCCCTTGAGGGCAGCTTTCAGCGGACGCAGAGCTACGGTAACTTGTGAGGACTTCCAGAATAAGTTTCCACAGCCTGGCATTGTGTTGCAAGGACGCTGAGGGGCAAAGCCCGCTACTTACATCTACTTACTATATGCGATGTATTGACCATGTCTGCATGGACAAAATGGACAAGGCACAAAATAAGAAACATCAGCTTGCGTAATGTATTCCGTTGGAACAGATCAATCTTATCATCACCAAATCGTGTGAAAACCGGGGCCTCCTTGACACCAGATGTCGGACTGCTGTGCCTTGGGGAGTTTTCTTCTTGCGAGTGTCGTTGACCCACAGATCAAATCAGATTTGGGGGTCAAAAGTAGCGGTTTGCACACAGCGCAGCGCAAAACAAACATACTCCCGACCACCAATTTGCTGGTGCCAGAGGGATCACGGGCAATACTTTACAGGCAAACATCACCTCAAGTGGAAG